GCAACTATTTGCTATGAACCTCACGATGCGAGTTTGATTCTCTGCCATGCCTAACATCATTTGAGTCCTGGCCTGCCCCCTTAGCCGGCTTGCACTGACTAGCGTGGTGAAGTATAGTCAAACAATCCTCCATGAGCAAAATAGCATGAGGCCTTCAGCCAGCCGTGGATTGACAACAAGCTGAAAGTTAGATTTTAAATGTAAGTAGATACACATTTGGTACACATACATATACAAAATTTATATTAACACAGCTCCATACACTTCTACATTCATGGCCCTTTTGTCAATCCACTGCTAGATAACAGCCTCCTCAAGTCACACACGAGCAATATACAGGCTCGACTTTGCTCACCTTCAGAGATCTAATGAAATCAAGCACATTTTGGGTTATTTTGGCCATAGACACATATAAACTATTGATCGGTAAATGCATCATAAGGTAACCAGACACTCATCTCCATTCCACGTTCTCAATACAAAGACCATGGATGGTGATTGTTGATGGTGTGTATTGAAGTGGTGCTTATGTAAAGAGATACAGGGAGACAGACAAAAGCAATTTGAAACACGAATTAGCCAGACACACTTTGCAGTAAGCACCTAAAGGAATCTTGAGAATCAGTGAGTCTTTCGTGAATTGTTTAAAAACAAAATACTCCTGCGGTTTTAATAATAAAACGTAATCATGCATTTCAACGTGAATCGTGCAAAAGAAAGCATAGGGAGATGGACGCTTGGAATTACGATGTTCTACGGACAGCGGAACACATTGATTAGATGTGCAGGTTTTATGAGATCGTTCAATAGGTTAGGGAAAGTATAAGCGGGCTTGGACATGGCACGTCGCTCGAAGAGATGATGGCTGATGGTCAAGAGTAATGGTGTGGCGGCCAAGGATTGGAACACGCCTGGGAGTGTGCACACCGAGGAGATGGAGGGATGAACGCAGCTCACGTGCAAGAGCCAGGAGGGCCGTTACATTGCAGGATCATAGGAGATGGCGGTGGCTTGGGAAGGCCTTTGTCTAGCAGTGGATTGACCATGGCTGATGATGATGATGATAATGACATATTTAAACGTGTATATTAATGACCAGACTGAAGCCCTTAAGCCTGTCATGCTTAAAACAAAGTTAACATAAAAAGTGTCTCCAATGTGATGGTGCTAGGTAGAATGCCACGGTAGTGAGATGTTACCGACCCCGCCTGGTATGCAGGAGGTCGTGGGTTTGGAGTTTGCATGTTCTATTCGTGGTCGGGTGTATTTTTCTCCGCGTCCTCCGAATTTACTCTCCACATATAGAAACGTGCGTTTAGAGTATTTGGCTGCCATACATTTCCACGTGATAAGCCACTTCATTGTGCTACCATTTGTGATAGCCAGGTCGCTTCTGAAAAAGTGCTATATAGCTCAGTGGGCCTTACCTGGTAAAATGAAAATAGTTTAGTTTAGGATTATTACATCACAGAAATGTGAGAGGCGGTGACGATTTGGAGAGGCCTTCATCCAGCAGTGGATTGATCATGGCTGCTGCTGATGATGATAGAGGCTAGGGCAAGCATATGGACATGAAAATAAATAAACCGTTCCTGCGCTGTCATTGGGAAGCGTGGCACTGCGCAGTTACGTACTGCAAAACAAGTCCGGCGAATGGATTATTTTACTCCCGTACATTAATAGGTATTTGTTGCCAGGGAAGAATTCATCTTCATGCAGCTCGGAATAAAATAAAGAATTGCTGCCTTGTTGTGCGGGAAGGTGGGTGAGCGTTCTTACGTCAAAGGCTAAATCGGTCCCAGCTGAGACTCGACACGAACCTTACGTTCATTCGTCTGGCTGAGTCACGGCGGAACTAAGTCAAAAGCGTTTCCCTGCTCAAGCGAGCGCCCTTCTGGCGCTCCTGAGCCAACGGTGGACATTCGACAGAGCCATGGTGTGAGGGCCATTATTGCGGCAACAATGACACACTGTTGACGTGCCACAAAGTGGCGGCACTTATTGTTAACGAGCCCCTGGAAAGGTAACACGATGGCACGTGTCCAACTCCTGGCCAGAATCTGAAACGGGCACCTTACGAATTCTCAGTCAAGAACTCTAACCGCCGTACCACCCGGCCAGATAAAATGTAATAACTGAAGGACATTTTTTTTTGTATGTTCATTAAAAAAAAATATTGCTTGTAAATTCAAAACATGTGTTTGTTTTACGTACATCGTGTGTTTTTTTAATATTATGAATACGCCATTCTCGACTGGCTTGACCGCTGAGGCAAGTGTTTTTAGTGAACACTTCTTACGATCACACAGTTGATGGCAAATTGTCTTCAAGTCAAATTGTGTTCTGGGTGGCACTCGTCTCAATTAATGTCCCAGTTACGTGGTGGACATTCCACATTCCCATGGTGGAGATCCGTCATTCTGCATGACGACCACCATTCTCAAATGTATAATGCACCATCGTGATCGATTGAGGGGTATGAAATACAAACACATTCACAGATGAGGGAAAAAACTCAACGCGTTGGTCAACAGCACGTACCATTTAAGTGCTATGAAGAAGGGCCACTTCTCGAAATGTCACCAATTATACATTTTTCCTTTTAAGTCCACAGTCCTATTGACAAACATGTTGAGAGTCTTGTTATTTGTGCTTCTTGCACCACTGCCAACGCAGGGTCACCAAGGTAATTTGTTTAACAGATAAGGGGTCTTGATTTAAAGCTTTCGTGACTGCAGGGATTCATATTCTTGGTTCGTTCGGTAAAGTCACGTAGGTAAAAAAACTAATTAAAATTAAATAAAGGAAAAAATTAAATCACGACGTTTCGGAGGCAACACAAGCTTCCGTCTTCTGGTGGAAACAGTCACAGCAAAAAATCGCTGAAAAAATTTAAACACGACGTTTCGGAGGCAACATAAGCTTCCGTCTTCAGGTGGAAACAGTCACAGCAAAAAATCGCTGTGACTGTTTCCACCTGAAGACGGAAGCTTGTGTTGCCTCCGAAAGGTCGTGTTTTATTTTTTTCTTTTATTTAATTTTAATTTGGTTTTTTTTTTACCTACGTGACTTAACCGAATAAAACCAAAGAGTATGTCATATTTAAGTCCCACAGCTCAAGCTGCTCACGGTTGTGCTGTGTGGCGCTCCGACGTTTTTTTTCCGCGTTGTACCGCCTGTTGCTCGGCGCAGTGTGCGGACCTGAAGGAGCCTTCCAACACAGAACCGAATTTCAGCACGTGGGGTGACACGTGGGACATCGTGTGGAACAACACGCGGTGTGACCCGAAAACGCATCGGAGAGCGATATTTAAGTCGATCAGCCAAAATAAGCTCTCTGATCCCTGTGTTTTCCCAGCAGCATTCGTTTCATCAGGAAAACCTTGGAACTTCTTTTATTTTCTGAGTTTCATCAACAGCCTTTTAAAATAATGCTGCAGGGCTTTCCCGGTGTTATAGGCAAGAACCATCCACAGACATTGGAGCTATTACAGTGCAGCGCAGAAAAGCGTACAAAACGATTGTGCACTTTCTTGGTGGATTGTGGGTAAACAAGGCCCCTTTTGGCTTATGGAGTTGAATGTTATTTCACTTTGGTGGTGTAATAGAGCCTTGTGTGTGTGTCTTGACAATTTGGTCGCACGTTATGTCAGTATCTATGGGACGCTTTTCTCTTTTTTTGATCACGTTAAGTCAGGTTGCTTTACAAGAGCGGGACAAAAAATATAAAGGGGCTTCAGAGCTGCGCTGCACAGAGCTTAGAAGAGAGAAGGAGGTTATTATGTACTCTTCATCATCATCATCAGCAGCAGCCATGACCACCGTGGGATTAAGACCTCCCACAAGCCATCGGCATCCCTCACAGTTCTGCGACGAGACAATGCACCCTCTGCGTGCGCGCCGACAGATTTCACAGCTCCATCTCCCCGCCACCGAGAGACTTGCTCCTGGGCGGTGACATGTTCCAGCTTGTTGCAGATGTTCGCGGTTAGTTCAGCGGGCGTATTAACCGTGACGGATACGCGCCGTCTGCTTCAGAGTGGACGGTAAAGATCCCGTGATGTCATTTACAACGAGAAGGCCATCGAGAGACAACGTCGGGGCCTACCTTCGCCAAATCTGAGCTATGGCCCGCAAATTAGCGCATTGCTCAATTGGGATTGTACAAAGCAACATCGCTCCCTACTGGCAAACCACGCCCATCCGTGAAATAGGGCGCCACGGTGGCTAGGAAATGTTAACTACCTCGCCTGGTATGCAGGAGGTCGTGGGTTTGATCCCGACACTGACTCCTGTCAATTTTGAGTTTTCATGTTCTATCCGTGGTAGGTTGTATTTTTCTCTGGGTCCTCCGGATTTACTCTCCACATTTAGAAATGTATTTGGTTCGAGTATTTGGCTGCTATACATTGCCCCGTGATACACCACTTCGTTGAGCTATCATTTGTGGCCAGGTCACTCCTGAAAAAGAGCTATACAGCTCAGTGGGCCTTACCTGGTAAAATAAAAAATAGTTTAGTTTAGAAACATAGCACCTTCATTCGTGGTAGCCCTGTGCTACAAGAATGGCGCCGATACACATTAATGTTAAATTATTGTTGTAAATATATTTTTGCCGTATTTTCGCTGTGCGCAGTTGCACTTTATTTTGTGCGCAGATTGCACTTTATTTTGCTCAGTCGGTGCTAGCCCGCTGAGGTCGTGACGGTTTTTTTTTCATTCTTGTTTTTCCATACTCCCGGAGCGTTCCCGTTCTGTTGTAATGTGCACTGATGCCCACTATCGAGAGCGATACAGTACTGGCACGTACAATAGAGATCGATTGATTGATTTTATTCCTATGAATATATTCCGTTGCAGTGAAATAGCGTGCGCACGCATGCACGCGTGTGTGTGTATGTATGTATGTCGAACTTGTTTCGCGCTGTACGTATCCAACCGTGTTAAACTGAGGTGTGTGTGTACGCGTGTGTGTGTGTGTCGGCCGTCGTGTGCTTCAGACGAAACCCGTGGCGTTTGCGGTCCGCACCAACGTTAGCTACAATGGCTTCAGCGACGAGGACGCCCCTGTGCACGGAACGGCGATTTCCTTCGACGGAAAGGACTTCCTCCACATCAAGGAGGTGAGTGGTGCTGGGGTTCCTGGACGGAAGACGCCACTTGGCACTGTTCTGGATCATTGTAATAATAATAATTAATGATAACAATCATTATTTACAGTTTATTGCTCGTCACTCTTCCAACATGTCTGGTCAACGTAGAAAAGTAGACCACATACGCTCTGGAGTTCTGTCTAATAGTGGCTCTTCCGCCAGCAGTGGCGTGAGATAGCAATTGCAGGGCTGCACCTTTACCGTTTATCTGTTCCCATTGTCAATCGACTGTGGGAGGAAGCTCTATCCCAGCTGTATCAGTGATGGGGTTTTTTTCTTCACCATACTTCACCGTGTTGGTCAGTGTGGATGGATTGGGGGTGGGGGGGGGGGTTGCCAGCACCAGGTCAGATGTCGCTCACCACTGATGTTAACCATGTCCAGGAATTGAACTCAGGTTGCCGGGTTCATAGCGCGATGCACCAACCACTTCTCCATTCCCACTTGGGATATTCCAGATTGCAATGTGTATCTGTTGCTGTATGTTCTACACAGGTCGTGGGCTCAATCCCGACCCTGACTCCTGTATATTTGGAGTTTTTTTTTCTTCCCATGGCCGCGGAGTCCTCCGGTTTTTCCCTCCACATTTTGAGTATTTGTCTGCGATGAATGTCCACGTGATAAGCCGCTTCGTTGAGCTATCATTTGCTTTTGAAAAAAAGTGTGCCATACCTGGTAAAATTAAAACTAGTTTCTCGTGTAATACCAGGTAACTGATGCGACCCGTGCACTCAAGTCAAGGTCAAAAAGTGGCTCCTTGCTCATACGAAGCAAGGTAGCGGCGCACACCTAGCGGTGGGAATTCCCCTGGCTGTCTCGGCACTACTGGGAAACCTGGGTTTGAATCGAAGTTTAATCCACCTGTGATTAAGTGTAGGGAGTTGATAGTCTCAGCCTGGTCTGCAATGATATCCACACATGAAAAACAAATTCAATTCGGTACTTTTCTATGGGAGGAAACCGTGGGTATCTGGAGAAAACAGGCGCATACGAGATAACGTGAAAATATCTGCGCGGATAATTAATCTATCAACCCATTCATTGCGCCGTCTTCTGCAAACCACCTTGTCGATCTAAAAGTTGTGAGCATTGAGCAACGCGAGGATCCTTGTGTGATCCATCAGACCCCGCTGCCAAAGTTGTGCATTACAGGCTAGTGCCACCACAGGTTTATACCATACTCTATGCTCTCGGTTATTTCGGTAACACCACTTTATTATACCAGCCACAACCGCAGCACATGAAACCGCAGAGAGAGAATGAAAATGAAACAATTCAATAGTTAACGTCAAAAGCACAGGTCATTTTCCTGTTTACAAAAATAATTAAAGTAATGACAGAGCTGTATTCTTTCAAAGTAATATTTATTACATGAATAAATTTATATTTATTTGCTCATTTCAATGTTTGTATACATCCGGCCGAGTGGCAGTGTGGCACAGTGCTCAAGCCACAATCAAAAACCTGTCGAGGTCAACCTCTTAGCCTGGGGGATCGACTCCACTCGGCAACGCTCTTGAAATTAATCAAAATGTGTAAGGCAAGGTGGTAAAGGTAGTGGTCATACGAATGAGCACCGTAACGTGGAACGCACATGGTGGTCAAATTGTCGGGAAAATACCCCCCTCCGTACGAATGTGGAATTTCCACCACCAGCTCAGGCGCTGCTCAGAGTGGAGATGAACACTTTCTCGTTGCTGGTTCGATCGGGGAGAGTCACTCAATGGTTTTTTTTGAGTTGAACATTTGGATTCGTCAAGCTGGCTTAATCTGGAATGTGCAGAAGCATGTTTTTGTTAAAACCGAGAATTCCTGCTGTATGAACCTGAGGTGTGTGTGTGTGTATGTGTGTGTCTGTTTATGACTGGAGCGGTCGTGTTGTGGTTAGTGCACCACACTACGAAACCAGCGATCCGAGTACTATTCCCGACCAATAACAGTGGCAAAACACTTGAACCGGGATGAAGTACTTAGTTTCAGTGTGTAAACATCAGCGCTAGGGACACAAAAAGGGGGCCGGGCATGGATGCTGGCCACAGACTTTGTTGCGTGCCGGTGTCGGCGACCTTCATAGGTGCTCGCTAACAGCACTTGCCCAGACAGTCTGTTAAAGACTATACGGGAGATTTGTTTTATCCTTGATTATGGGAATTGGACTTCTAAGCGTGGTTACCAGGAAATTTGGGCTTGCACACATCCGGGAGGGAAGCTGACACACTGCAATTTACAAGAAATGCCAACAACACAAACACAAAAGGTTTAAAGGAAAAAAAAAAGTTAGTTTTTCTTGCTACATTCCCACCATAGTTCCGGACATTGAACGGTAGAAAATTGGCACCTTTATTTTCATGGCATCACAAGAATTCCCATCCCCGCGAGTCTACTTCTGAGGAAAACGGACATTGTCTTAGAAAGAATATCGCATTATTGCTTCTTTCAACATTCATGCATCAGTCTTGCGAGAAATGGGACTTGCCAGACTTTCCAGGTGCACGCCTGTAATCCAAACTCTTGGGGAGGCAGCGAGGGTTAGTGGATCACGCAAATACTGCGAAACTCCCTTCCCGTGGGCGTCGATGGTGCCATTCCCTGGCTTGCCAGGAGAAGGCAGTCCAGCAAATATGCAGACTCGACCTGTTCCGTTTGTATGGGATAGAGTGTCTGCCCATTGCATGTGTGGATTTTCTCCGGGCGCTCCGGTTTCCTCCCACATGTAACCACTAATTTATCGGCCAATAACACTTTAATATAGATAGAGGACCGCAGAGCTTTGGAAATTATTGGTGTCAGCTCACTGCGTGGCTGCCTTCCCACCTGTCTGCGGTTCCTCATGCCTCTGAGTCGAATACTGTGCAGTACGTTGCAATTAGGAATTATTGTTTATTAATGGGTGCTCTTATTAACTATCTTTGAAGTACCAATGCTGTCAGAGTGCCGATGCAACTTAAGGAGTGGAGTGGTGGCACAGTGATCAGCATGCTTTACTATGAAGCCCAGCAACCTAAGTTCATTGTCTGGCTGTGGCCACCATTAGTTGTTATCCGTAGCAGAACTGGTCCTGGATGCCCCCCCTCCCCGCCGCCTACCATCCCCCCACTTCACCAACTTACACTGACGACCATGGTGAAGTATGGTCAAACAATCCATCACCGTTCCATGACTGCCATGACACTGGGAGGCACATATCTAGCAGTGGATTAACAAACAGGGCTCTATGTGTACGTATTTGAACACATTTTACTGGTAGGAACCTCCTGGTTACACCAGCCCACAGGGGATTATTGTGTCCGTCCATCCGTCGTGCATCCAAAAATGGGAGGGGTGGGGCTGGGTGGAGAGGGGAGGGTGGGGAGGGGCTGGGTGGGGAGGATGGGGAGGGGCTGGGTGGGGAGGGTGGGGCTGGGTGGGGGGTGGGAGGGGTGGGGCTGCGTGGGGAGGGGCTGGTCACCCCGTGGTGCCCTTTATAAAACTCAACGTTAAACCTACTCACGCCGGCTTGTGCCCGCCCTCACAGTCGGACATATTTGCGGAATATACCACGTGGTGCCGCCGTTGACCCTGGCCATTGACCGAGCAACCCAACGTTCCTACCAGCTCCCTCCGCAGGAATGTGTTCTCAAGTGTTGACTTGCAATGCAGAGGCAGTGCCAGTTGGTGGATCACACAAATGCTCTCATTCGTGTGATCCACCAGTCGCGTGGGTGTTGAGGACTTACCAGGAGATTACAGTACAGGGACTCCTCTAATTACGAGCATTCGACTTACGAACATTCAGAGATACGAACAAACCTGTCTGTATGTCCGGATGCCTGTTCAGATCGAGAGTCGTAAGTTCAACCGCCACATAATAGATGGCGGTGGTGGCATCTACATCTGCACAACACGTAGAGCAAGTGGCATCTACATCTACAGGAGATTACACAACTGCTAAAGCCAGTCCCCTTGTTTCGTGTACATGCCACACAACATGTTTGGAATCGACAGGAGTAAAGTTGAACTTAAGAACAAATCTACTTACTGACAGACCTCTGAAACCTAAATCGTTCGTAAGTAGAGGAGTCCCTCTACCACCTGTTACATCCTGTTTGGGATCGAGCGTTGTCCCTTCACGCACACGTGTGTTTTCTCTGGATGCTCCAGTTTCCTCCCACAAGTTTTACATGATTTTTAATTGGCCAACAACAACTTCATTTGAAGAGAACCGCAGAGGATTTGGTGCAAGCTCTCTGTCTGTTTGCTGCCTTTTCCACTCAAATGTGGTTCCTCGTTGTGTCTCCGAGTCATTCTCTCTCTCTCTCTTCGAGAGTGAGCGAATATTGCTCGGCACGCTACAAGCCTAAATTATTATAAATTATTATCACGTGACACACACACACACATTCGAAGTCCTTTAGCCGCACTGGCAATCACCTTATCACACATTTCTAAAAATGGTACGAAGCTCATTTTCAGTTCCAAACATAGATGTACCGACAACCAAAATTAGCCGTAAAAAAAGTGCCTTGTAATATCTGCAAAAAATTTGATTGCAGGAATTTATTTCTCACGTTGCACAGCAGTAATCCATATGGACATGCATATGTGAGTGCAGTCAAGTTAAATAATGATAAACTGTATTCTGTGTGTGTGTGGCTGTGTGTGGGGAGTGGTAGTGTAGCGTTTAGCGCGCTGTGCTATGAACCTAGCGGCCCGAATTCAATTCCTGCTCACGGCCAACACCAGTGACCAGTATCTGAACTGGTCCTGGGCCTATCCTATGTCGACTTAACCACCTGCTGTGGTGTGTAAACATTGCCACTCGGGAGACAAAGGCGGCCGGGCGTGGTCCTGGCAATCCATCCCCTCATGTGTAGTGCCGGCCTTCATAGGTCCTCACTAACAGCACTTGCTCCTACAGTCTGTTCAGGCTTCATGGGGATCTTTGTCTTTGTTTGCGTGTAAATTTTTAGTCCAACAAACATGAGCAAACATTGATACACGTGGCCCTCTTCTAGGCATAATGACCACTGGTAACATTGGCTGCTTGGCCTAAACCTTTTTACTAATAATGAAATGCATAATGAATAATGCATGCAGTAAACAAACTTAAACCATTACAACCATCGCCTTTTGATACCCAAAGTGTCATAATTGTAAGCAGATTAACATCTCATCACCATTGCTGATTTGGTTACCAATGGGACTGACCATCACATTCGAAAGCAGGCCCCTAGCTGGTGTAATAATAAATGCTTGATGCGGGCAGTAATAATGAAAAGCGACAATTCCAGCGTGCAAACAGGGCGAGGGGAGATTCACGCTGGGGGGGGGGGGGGGGGGTTATTACATCGAGGGGTGGAGAGAGGAGCGCGTGGATTGGTGAACATGCGCGGGGTAACGGCGTTATTGGAATTGTTAAGAAAAGTGAGTGGAACTTGGACGGCTGATGGTCAAGGGATGGACTGCGACCAAGAGGACATCCACTGGGGAGATGGAGCCGTGAAATTAAGCTCGCGTGCGGTTGCTAGGACGATCGTTACATTGCAGAATCATAGGCGGCGGCAGTGGCTTGGGTAAGGCCTTCATCCAGCAGTCGATAGACCGTGGCTGATGATGATGTACTGTACCTCCGATTAGCACGGTTGGCCATGCACAGTGCGGAAGAAGATCAATGTACATACACACTGTAATGCAGAAGCAGATGATCAGACCGAAACAATCAAACCTGTTACGCCTTCAAACAAATCTCAATTTCAAAGTCTCTCCACTTATCTCCATCGATCACTCTGAACTCGTCGTTTAAATCCCACATTGTCATGGCAAGGACCATTCCCTTCATGGGTTCACGGATGTTGTGAGCCATATTTAATTTCAGCTTGAAGCCTGGGATTCAACCGTTCTGTTTGGTTAATGCGAGCCCTGGCATGCAAACTATACCGCTCTTAGATTGAGGAACTCCTGAAGGACTTGGTTGTGTGCCTCCTGAGTATTTCTCAAGGGTGGGAAATTACAGGAAAGATGTTGCATGGATGTTGTTGCATGTCTTTTTCTATGTGTGCGTATGTCTTATGTGGGGAGCAGTGGTGTCGTGGTTGGCGCGCTGGGCTACGAACCTGGCGACCTTAGTTTAATTCCTGCTCACGGCCAACACCAGTGACGATTATCTGAATGAGTCCTGGGCCTCCTCTAGGTCGACTCATTCTCAAAAGAGTACCTGGTGCAGTGTGCCACTAGGGAGACAAAGGCGGCCAGGCGTGGTGCTGGCCACCCACCCCCTCGTGTACCCTGCCTGCCTTCATAGGTGCTCGCTAACAGCACTTTCCCCAACAGTCTGTTAAGGCTACATGGGAGATCTTTGTCTTCTTTGTCTTGGCATGTGGGGAGCGGTAGAGTAGTGGTTAGCGTGCTGCGCTATGAACATGGCAACCTGAGTCCATTTGGTATTCACACCATTCTGAAAGCACAAAGCTTTCACGTCACATGCAGGTGTTTCGCAATGGGGGGGGGGGGGAGGGGGGTTTGGGGTACGTTGCTGTGTTTCCCAATTGCGTAAATTCTGGGTAATTTTACTAATTTGGAAAATTGTGCTGAGCTGTGATGCTGGCGCACATGGCCTAAACTTATTTGGAATAACATCACGTGATCTTTAGCTTCCACTGTGAATCAGACCACCCATATTTATAATTAATACAGCCGCAGTATTAACCAGAGCTGCCATGGGCGTTTAACCGCAAACGTCTGCACCAAGCGCCAAATGTGCTACCTCATGCCTGGCCGCGTCCACAGCCGATCAAACGTCACGGCACTCAGCACCCACTAATATCAATGGTTAGCCGTGTGGAATGCATAACTGGGAACAGTTTTTGTTCACTCTTGGTGAGGGACAATGATTCAGAGGTCCGAGAATCCGCGGACATTGTGGAGGAGGCAGCCAAAACTGGAGACAATAATTGCTAGTGCTCTGTGGTCCTCTAATTGCATGTTTGACCAACTGCATTCACGACTTTTTGTACACGAGGGAGGAAACCGGAGTATCAGGAGAAATCCCATGCGTTCAATGGGGCGGAGGTGGAGAGGGGGGGGGGGGAGGTTAACACTCAATCCCCGTACAGATGGAAACTAACCCACTTTCTGTACTGCCATTATACCCTGGCTACAGGCCAGGTTGTGCCGACCTCGATGCCCGTGAGTCGGGGGGGGGGGGGGGGGGGAGTTTCACGAGTCTCTCTCTGTGTGGTCCACCAACACTCACTCGATGAGCTTCCGCGCAAGTGCGCGCTGGGTCACGGGCCGCGCGCAGAGTGCAGCCGGCAGCGTCAGCCCCGGCTTCTCCCTCCGCTCGCCGCTCGCTCGCTCGCTGGGCTGGGGATCGTCACGCGCGGTACACGCGCGTTGACGCTCGCATCCCTGTTGGTTGCCCGTCGCAGAAGTACAACAACGACTGGTGGATCGGGCGGCTGGTGAAGGAGGGCTGCGAGATCGGCTTCATCCCGAGCCCCGTGAAGCTGGAGCTCATCCGCCAGCAGTTGGAGCAGCGCGCTCGCCAGGGTCGCTTCCACGCAGGGTGGGCCGCACCGCCGCCGACACCGCACGCACGCAGCCCCGCCGCACCGCCCGCCCTGGCTCTCCCCTGGGTTCGCCAGCGAACGTTGGGTTTGCGCAAGGGGAGACAACGCTTGTTTAACTTTGCCGACGCCGCTTTGGCATTACTTATTGCTTTAACGCTTTCGTGGCCACAGGGATTCACATTCTTTGGTTCTTTCGGCAAAAGTCACCACGTAGAAGGGAAGCAGTAAAATAATGAAAATATGAAACAAGGCGATTCTCACTTTTATTGTTTGCCTTCTGCGTGACTTTACCGAAGGAACCAAGAATGTTTACTTATTGTGTTACGAACCAGTCCAGTAGCGCCGCGGTCACCACTCACGACCGGAAGGAGGGTCAGAAGTTGAAATCCCTGTCCGGCATTGACTCGTCACTACGTCCCGCTGGACAGTGGCACATCCGAGGAGCGGGCAATGGGGAAAATTGACCTCCCTTGCCCCCCCCCCACCGAAAGGTTCTTAGACCTACCTCACACCTCAGCGATCCTGTGAAATTTCTAAATGTTCCCAGGATTAATATTCTTGGATCTTTCGGTAAAGTCGCGGAGAAAAATAATCATGATCAAATTTAAGTAACGAATATTAAATAATAAAAGCAAAAAACCCACGACGTTTTGGTCGCAACGCAAGCGGTCTTCTTTTCTCTCCGCCTGATGAACGCCGCTTGTGTTGCGATAGAAACGTCGTGGTTTTTTGCTTGTATTATTTTCAATTCATTATTATTATTGTTTTCATTTAAAATTTATTTGATTATTTTCTATTTTTATTTTCTCCCTACGTGACTTTACCGAAAGAACCAAGGATATGAAATCCTACAAGTCACGAAAGTTTTAAGTTAAAATGTTCCCAGGATATTCAAAGTTATAGTTGTTGTCATTGGTTTAATAAGAATGAGTAGATCACTCAAGCCAATGCTTTTACATGCAGCTCTCCCCATCTCCTGGTAATTGCGAGATATTCTTCTTCCCCCGGTGTTTTTGTACCACACTGGGGGCCTATCCTACTCACCGCGATTTACTTGATCGCAATTGCGCAGCGTTCATGATCATCACGCAGCTCCTACGGCTTCTAAGCACGTGCCACGCATGATTAACTTGGGACTAGCCACGATAATGACTCGCGGAAACTTGATGATAATTGCGTGATATTTGTGACGATTTTGCAATGCCTGTGGTGTTCTTGGGCCGCGAATGGTCCCACACACCGGGCTCGCAATCCAGAGGTCGCTGGTTTCAGTCGATCTCCCGGCGCGCCACTCGAATCAATGGTGCAACACGAATAGGTTCACCGCAGCGAGTCGATCGTGCGGTGGGAGTAAAGTGTAGGTAATCCCACCTCTTGCAAGCCATCTTTCCAGCGTGGAAGAGGAGGCAACATAATACCTTCCAGTAGAGGGAACTCGAGGTCCCTTGTGCTCCCTCTAGTGGAGACCCAACCACCAAACAGCCCACGACAGTTATGCATCATCTACACAATATTTTTTTTGTCGATATTGCACACATTCATGATGAACATTATCTGTGGCAATCTTGAAAGGTTCATGGCCATCAGGTAACATCTGTGACAACAATTCAATATTCTTGACAGTCGTACAATAAACGCAGCAATCGTGCAGTGTCCATGCGGGGTGATGTGTTATTCATGGCAGTCTTCCAAGGTTCGTGATAAATATACAATGGGCAATACCTGTGACAATACAAATGACATCAATGAGTTTTTACATGATGCACAATTAAAAAAAACCCTCCCCCATTACGAATGTTGTGAACCCGTACGCTCGTGAGGTCACATCCTGGCTCTTATTCAAATTCCACCCATCATTCTTGTGGAGATCAATAAAATAAACGCCACTTTGTGGGAAGTCAACATTGGTGATCCCATTGGGAGACCGGTCTCTGCTCACAAGGGTTGTGGAATTTCCGCCACAGGCTCAGCACCACCACCGCCCAGCGCTCGTAGGAAGTGATTGTGTGCGCGCGTTCGCCAAATTACGCGTTCGGAGGACGACTCCATCCCTGCGCTTTGCACGTGATAAAGCTGCTGCCTAGCTCAGCGCAAGAGCGCACGCTAAATAATGAATAAATGTATGAGCCGAATGTTGACTTTCATTTGGTTTCCTTGGCCAATTTTTCCAATGCGTTTTTTGTTTTAGTTTTTTTTTGACGCATTTTCACGTTACCTTTCTTTGAGGTCCGCTGCTTCTAAAACCCCACTTCCTGGCATTGAGACGCGGACGTATCAGATTTTTGGCAGGATGTTTTGCTCGGTCCAGACCGTTTTTTGTGTGTGTGTTGGTGTTGGGCCTTGATTATTTTAATTATTTTCTTTATTGGGTTACCGGCACACACAAAAAAAACGACAACAAAAATATGAAAAGAACAAAAAGGCTTTCCCCGTGTTATGACGTTCGCAGGCTTCCTTACGGCTGATGGAGCACTTTGGCCGGAAGCCAACGTGCGTCATCCTTGCCTGCAGAGGATGTTAACCTTCGTAGAGTGTGCCGCCATCAAATTATGGGGATCTTAAGCTGGCTGATCCGGTGTCTGGCCCACGCACCCATGGGGACTCCAGATTTGTACGTTTGTATCCGACTGGTTAGAGACGCTCGGGTTGAACAAACGAAAGGTCGCAAGTTGAAATCCTGGTCAGGGATTGACTTGGCCTCTCATCTCTCTCTGGAGTCGGTAAACTTTCTACCTGTTTTGTGAAAAGCCACTGGCGGTTTTCGTGTTGAGGGGCACATCAGCTCAGAGCAGCCAAGAGAGATGAGCACTGCTCCCCCGCAGGGCAAGGGAGCAGGGATACACTTTGATGGTAAACAAACAAAAACATGCCCCAAGGAAACATGGAAATCGGGCTGAGGTCGCATCTGTTGTCGGTGGTAAAAAAAAAAAAATCCATATTTCTCTCTCCTCAAGGCCAAGTCAAGTCAAAGTTTGGCACAGAACTCAGTTGGCAGCTGCCTGAGCCATTGGGGCAAATTCCACATTAGTATGGTTGGTGCCAGTTTCTCATTAGCACAGCCATATATAATATTCTAGAATGATGCTTTAGGGAGATATTAGCCCACAGCACTTCATTTTTATTCTTTGGGTCTTTCGGTAAAGTCACGCAGATAGGTTCAAAGAAAATAACAAAAAAACCTACGACGTTTCGATCGCAACGCAAGCGGTCTTCTTGCGTTGCGATCCAAACGTCGTCGTAGATTTTCCGTTACTTTCTTTGAACCTATCTGCGTGACTTTACCGAAGGACCCAAAGAATATGAATTTCATGCAGTCACGAAAGCTTTAAGTCAACACTTCATTTGTACTCACTGTACTGTAAACTGTGCCCGGCTGTATGCTTCGGAAAGAAGTATGGTGCTGTAATGTTTATTAATCTCCTTTGCCAATCATTCTCCCCCCCCCATCCTCCCACCACCCCCCATGAATCTACCTCTGTGGTGCATGTCTCTCTCTCTTTCTACCTCCACTCCCTCCCTGTCACTCCCCCCCCCCCAATCTCCCCTGCGTTTCTCTCTGTCCTCAGGAGACCTGGAGGTAATTCTCCATCGAGTCGGGGCGACTTGATGTCAGGTCCGTTTCACAGCACCCCTCCCCTCAGCGGAGGAGGGAATGGGAGGGGTTCAGGGGTGGAGTAGGTGTACAGAGTAATGCCAGGGTATAACGTACATTTATATGCATCATGGGTGGCATGCGGCCATGACCATATACATGTACTATTTACATACACACCACTCATGCACCATCACGGGACGGAAAAACCTCTGGAAGCCAGACTCATTAACGGGAGGTCCTTTTTCGGTTACGTGGGGGGGGGGGGGGGGGGTGCATTCGGCATACTTGCAAATCATTTTATTTGTCGTTCATTAAAGAGTTGGTGAAAAGGTTTAATTGCTTTTCGCACGTAGTTGATTTCTCGACGAGTTTAATTAACGTCATTAACGATCAACATCGCCACTGTGCAGTATAACCCGAGTCTGCTGACCATCGTCGCGATGCAGATTACGGGAAGTTGACCGTAAATGCAGAGATAATGGGCGAATGATTTTATCCCGAGAAACAACAGGCTGATTCTCTCCGCCTTGACAGGGTTTTTGTTTGTCGTCGAATTTAACATAATTCTAGAATAGCTGGACAAAACTAGGATAAAAGAGGGAGATCGAGAGGGAATCCCGAGCAGAATCACCTTGGATGAGCGTATAACTAATGCACAGAGCCTCACCACATTCCATACAACAGATGAGCACAGCAGGCTTAAGATCGGTTTACAGTTGCTAGTGTATATACGCACACAGTCTCCTACCATGCCCAGCTTAATTAACACAAGGAGTGTTCCGATGGGATTTTTATTTTCTATGTTTTATTACGTCAGTAGCCTTTCTGGCTTGCCCCAGAATTCTGGCTTACGCAAGTCCAGCTTTGAGAGGTTTTACTGTGTACTCACATAAAGGCATTGTATGTACCGTGCATGTTATATTTTTTGAGTGTTTACTTTTTTTTTAAACTTCCAATTACATTCCAGCTGTGCTATTGGTGTCACGACATGAGATGAAGTTCCGTTTAGAACTTTCGCAGTGAGCAGAGCACCACCTCGGTGTCAGAAAAGTCCTGAAATATCACGACAGAATGCATTTTTGAAGTCCCGTCAATTACCTCTGTAATTAACCTCACCAGCTGGCTGCATTTGCTTGGCATCGCAATCAAACTTAAACGTTTAATCCCCTGAATGTGTAATATGGAAACCAAATCACCGCATTGGTGGCCATGCTCTAGAGTCCAGTTGAACCACAGGTGGCTGCCCAAATTTGAAACCATGGTCTCAGCGATGCCATCTCAATGCTGTGCCACCCAGGCACCTCATGTAAAGCATGTTGATGTTGATCTATGCACATGGTGTATAAGTGTACCTGTATGTGCATACTATATGGCAGTATGTGCGTATGCATATAGTAGGGAAGAGTTTCAGATGTTAAGGAGATTCTTTTGATATTTTCATGGATTTTTGGATCCGTTAAATTATATAATTAACGCGTTTTTATGCTAACAAAAGTGACGTCACCAATGGCCATGTGACACCCTAGAAGTAACATCATATCAGCGAAGTCAATTCCACCGACGTAATACTTTCAGATCAATCCGAAGATAAAAATTATTTCGGCCCCAATCCAAAATTTCAAAAATTTTCCGGCTTTTTCTGCATTCATTTGAAAACCTGAAATACATCCCTAGCACGTACTCTATACACAGTATTTACACACGGCCTTTGGATCGTGAATATCATGCTGATATGCAATATACTGGGGCATGTACCTAATTGATTGCAATAAAAAAATTGGTGCTCGCGTTCACGACGCAATGCATGGAATTGTGCGCGTAGGAATCACATCGTGACGTATGCGATATTCCGTTGCAGGCAAGCGACGCCGCTAATCTATTATTTGGTCTAATAATTAGCAGTGCTGGCTCCTCCGCTTTGCCATGCTGCAGAGGCTCACCGCAGGGGGCGGTGGCACTCACCGTGGATAATCAAAATCAGAATCTTTATTTGTGCTGGAGGAATCCGATGAGCTATAAAGCTCTTTTTTCACAGATGCCCCCTTTACCCCAAAACGTAAAGGGTGCAGCGCCTCTGCGATTGCTTGCTCACGACGCTGCTGGCAGAAGGACCTCCGCTGGAGAGGCAGCTGCAGCTTGTGGCACTCGTCTCCTCAACTTACTTAAAATGAGACAAGATTTAACGGACGTGTTTTTTTTTACTTCAATCACAACGCCGATTCATGACAATTTGTGGAATCGGTGGTGGTGTTGGGTGAATTTTTACATGCCTGCAATATATATGTGTCGTGCGCACATACATACACACTTGTACACTTATGTGTGGTGTACGTGCATCATGTATATCACGTAGATATATGGTGCATATGCATGTCTCCTATATATACCCTCCCATATGCTGGAAATACTCATACATGCATACACCAACAATACTCATACATACACACACGCACACACATCTCTGGTCACGCTTGCAAGCGAGATGTTCCATCTCAAGGGATAAATCCAGGTAGAATATTTGAATAATAATAATAAAAATGCACACGTACAGTGTATGTATGCACCGTATTCTGCAGATTATGAGACTATCAGACACTCCGGAAATTAATATGCACCCAAAACATTATACAAATACAAAGATGCCCCGTATAGCCTTTAGCAGACTTTTGGGGAAAGTGCTGTTAGCGAGCACCTATGAAGGCCTGGACGGCACATGAGGGGCGTGGGCGGCCAGCACCATGCCCGGCCGTCTTTGTCTCTCAGGTGCTGATGTTTACACTCTGCAGTAGGTACTCATTTGTGGCCGAGTCGACTTAGGGGAGGCCCAGGACCGGTTGAACTCTTCGCCACTATCATTGGTCGTGAGAGGGGATTGAACTCGGGTCGCGAGGTTCGTAGCAGAGTATGCTAACCACTGCATCAATGCTCCCCACACACGTATATACACACACACACACACACCAGATTATCACACAGCCCAAACTTGTGCTTTAAATTACAGGGGTAAAAAAAACCTGCACGTCTTGTGATCCGGAGAATACGGTTCTAACACACTAATATACACATGCATTTATATGCACCATGGTTGCATGAAACCATGTACATATACGTGCGCTCTATAAATATGGACTCAACGCATGCTGTAGATACGGGACATATTGATCACCGGCAGTTAAACGAGGGGTATTGAGGTGTGGGGGTTGGTACCGCAGAGATAGTTGCTGCTGGAGGACGAGGGCAAGGTGCAGGTTAGGTCCGGCAGCGGACTGCCATGGTCGATGGCAGCGTTCTTCATTGCAAGGCCTACAGGCCCCTGGTGGCCTTTAGTGCGGCCCCTTGATGTGCGGCCCTTGACAATACTCAACACGTTATAGGCTGCGTACCTTATAAAGCGATAGGTGTTTAATGTCTGGACATGGCCCAGGAACCCATGGCTCAATCGTTTACTCCGCCGTCACTGATGTGGGTAATGTGTGGCGTGCAGACGTACGATTGTAGTTGTCCGCTTATTTAAGGACACACACAGACATTTATATATGGATCATATATGGGATAGACAAGCATGTGGCATTGAGTCTATACATGTAGTGAGTATGGGGAGGTACTTGTCTCCTTTGGCAGCCTGAAGGCGATCGTGGAAATTCCACATTCTCATGGCTGGAGTAATTTATTTTTCATAGGATGACCTCTGTTGACTTTCTGCATACATGTATTAACTTTATTGACCCTGTAGGGATCATGGATTTAGTCGACCCCTGACTTGGATTTGAACTTGCAACTTTTTTGACTGGGCATTGGTAGCACTGATCATAGCGCCACCCGGCCATATACATACCAATTTTTTTCCCAGTATAGATATAAAATATATATACGTATAAATAATAATTCCTATAAATATTAATTATTTATATATCCCATGACAGCCCCATCAACCCACTGCTAGATTGTCAAACAGCCTTCATCTTAATCACAGGGGTTGTTTAACCGTACTTGACCCTGGTCAGTGTGGGTTCATGTAGGATTTCCGGGTTAGTAATGGAGTGTGCTAACCACTTCGAGATGAACGCCTCCCCACGCCATGCGAGTCGAAGGGATTATTTTAACCGTACTTCATCGTTTGGCACATGGACTTGACTGCCTTGGCAGCTGTTAGCCATTGGTGTAAATTCCACATTCCTGCAGCCCCCCACCATGAGAATGTACATTTTCGATCAGCTGCTCAGCATGTACAGCTTTAATAATGCCAATCGTTGAGTTCTCTGTTTACTCAGAACGTTCTTGCAGAGTCTAGGAATCCTTTTCAATGACCTATTTGTAATGTTTGAACACCAAAGCCTCTTCCGACATTACGTGAAGCCGGAGTGGTGCACGGAAAAAAAAACCAAAAACCCAAAAACTGCCGTACAGTTTGATTGGCTCCTCTCTTCTTAAACCGCCTCTTACTTGCCCCGATATTTCCCAGCAGGTGGGCATTTCGCAAATGTAGCTCTTCCCTTGGTGATACACCAACCCCCACTTCCAATCCGTCGAATCGCAGCCGTCGTTATCGCTGATCCCCGGGGTCGCGTCCTCCGCACGAACGTCGCCTTCCGACAACGACGACACCACACAGGCTTGGCTCAACAGCCGCAGAGGACGCCCTCGACTCGGCCGGTTCCCCGCCACTCCTGGCCGTCACGTTGGCCCACGGCGGTGATCGGGGTGGCAGAGTTGCGCCCGCAGAGCGAACGCCCGGGCCAGGGCAAAGAAGCACTCGACGCACGTGCCAAATTGTATTGCTTACTAAGTATTGCTAAGACGGTGGATAAAACAAAATCCAGATTACATTGACATGTAGCTAATTAATCCCTTTAAAAAAAAAAAACTGTCTCGCACAGCCTGGCATACGTTGCCTTGTGCCGTTTTAATCCAGCCCTCGGGATTACAGGCTGTGTGTAGTTTGAACATCATGCGTGCATCAACCCCCGACTGGAACTTGGCCATCTGCTTGCGAGTCGGGCGCTCGAATCGCAGCACCACATGCACCACCCCCCCCCTCCCCCCCGCCCAATACAAATTAGCATGCGCATATCGTTCACTTCATGTTGTCAGATGTGAAGAGGGGGACTCGGACCACGTAGTTCACTCGGGGTGGTTTATTGTCGTTGACGCGTGCGGAGTGAGCCCTGATGTCTTCTACTCGAGCCCCTTGTGTAGCTGACTCCCTCCCCGCACCCACCGGAACCCTCCTCAGCCGCATCTCGCCCGTTCAGTCAAATCCAACGCTAATTACCCCAACGGGTCTTTAACCGACCACCAGAGGTGCTGTGTACATTTAAAATAAGCTAAGATAATTACCCACTAAAATTTTCCCAGGCTCTCAGCGTTTCGGACCGTTCCACCAATCGGCTTCTCCCAATGACGACTCACCAGTCACCTGAGCGCCAGTGGGCAGCCAATCGCGTACATCGGTGCCAGCATTTGAACGTGTTGGCCGTTGTCAGTGACAGCTAAGCCAGTGGGATACAGCTGTACCCGCTCCAGCGTCGAGGCTGTCAGTTTATGCTGTTCGCGGCGACGGAAATCATTTAGAGAGTTCGGTATAAGCGACCCTTACAGACTTATGGAAGTAGCACAGTTGTTGGCACACTATGCTATGAACTCGGTGACCAGAGTATCCCAGCCACGGCTGGCACCTGTGACAAGTGACATCTGAACCCTTTCTTATATGCCTCTTCCTAACCCACATTGACCAAACATTCTGACGTGAACACAGAATGTGCAGGCCTTCTTTCAGCAGTGGATTGATAAAGGGAGGGAAATCATAATAATGCAATTGTCCATTGTAAAACAATATATTTGCCAATCATAAACAACATTTCCAGACAAGTGTCAACTCAGCCCATCCATCCCACCGCTGCGGATAAATACTTCCACTTTACGGGTAGTCAACAGTGGCCATCACATAGAAACACTCATCCACCACAATAGGAACTTGAAATTCCCAAGACTGGCTCAGAACCACAAAAATAAGCGAGCGCCACCCCCACAATAGTTGAGCATAGAGACACTTCAACACCGTGGCATAGGTGTGCCGCAATCCAGCCCAAGGCATGCTGAAAGCACGCATGCCGTGCGTTTGCGTGTGTGTCTCGTGTGCCGTGTCATGTGCATCGCTCGCCCGTCCGCATCACAGAGGCCACGGCCTCAGAGGCAACGGACAGCGACCCACAGCCCAGTCTCCGCTCGCTAAAATCACGAGTGCGCCCGCTCGCCTGCACAAATGCAAAGCACAAACGATACCATTTCTTTAAAAAGGTAAATGCAGCCAGCGCGCGTGTGCACGTGCGTATAGGCGTGGCCGTGTTAGCCTTCGCGGTGAGTCCTTATGTCCGCAGACATTTCCCCGCGTTAATTTGTCTCGCGTTTTCCGCGCATCTCGGCATTCCTCATCAGACCTCTCAAGTCGGTAGGCGGGCAGCGATCGATTTTGGCCGCTGCGTGGTTGGCGAGATGGACGTGTGGCAACTGGGTAGTCGATGCCTTATGTTGGGTTAGTATATATCTATATATATGCAAAGTGCTAATTCTGGGTGAAGCGTGTGAGAAATCCTGCTGCCCACTATTGGCGGGTGAGACAGGTGCCACACTTGTAAAACTTGAGAGGTCTGCCTCGGTGGCTTCACTAACCGCGTGCTTTGCAATTCCCCCTGACGGAACCCCTCGCAGTTGGTATCAGTCCAAGGGTTATTGTTTGTACAATAACATTCCGTAGCCTTCATTAATTTTGACACGTATCCCTGAAGAAAATGGAACCGAAGGTGAAAAATGCGTGGGGAGATGGGCATGCTTGGTGATTAGACTGAGCGACAGAAAGATTTACGTGCGGTTTTAAAGACTGCACGCAAATGAAGGACATCGCACTGACTGTTAAGAAAAGTTTTGGGGGCTTGGGTGGGACACATCCCTGTGAGTGCTGATGGCTGGTGGTCCAGACTCGTGACAGATTGGCAGCCAAATAAGGGAACAGGCCTGAGAGGACGCTTAAGAGGTGGAGCGGTGAGATCAGATCATGTCCAATAGCTGAATGGATTGTTGCTTCGCGGGACCGTGGGAAATTGTGACTTGGGGAGGCCCTCACACAGAAGTGGATTCTCATTGGCTGATGAGTGTGGTGATTGTACATACAACAGTGTGGCTGGTATGTTGGTGTGGTGATGAGAGGATTTGTTAAGCGAGTCTTGAAGTAATCAGGGACCTACTCTCTAAGGCCTAAACACAGAGCTACTCGCAGCACAGTGGGGTCTCTAGGTCAGTGGGACTTTGTGCAGATGGAGAGAAGAGGAATTCTAGCTACACACACAGACATTGAGACAGATGCACACGGAGAAATATGTTGACATGATAATAGTGGCAGAGACAGAGAGAGAGAGAGAGACACACAAATACATACTCTTTGGGTCTTTCGGTAAAGTCACGTATATAGAAAAAGAATAAAAAAATATATTGTGTTATTTTTCTATCTACGTGGCTTTACCGAAAGACCCAAAGAGTATGCATTCCTGCAGTCACGAAAGCTTTAAGTCAACACAAATTCATGCTGATGGACAAATATGCGAGAGATGGAAATAAAGACACAGGAAAATACATGGGAAGAGAGAGTCTGGAATGGGAAAAAGACACGTTGAGACACCGATGAACACAGACCGAGACATGGATAGAGGCAAGGAAAATATGTGGGGCCCCTTATTTAATGTGGGGGCCCTGTGCCTGTGCAAGTTGTAATGGGTACACGATACTATTCACAGACATCAAAGTGTCGCCTCAAACGGGTTGGAGCAGCGGTGGTCTCCAATTGGCAGCCCTGAAACTTATCTTCCTTAGAATTTTGCCTGCAACCAAATCACCCTGAATGTGCCTGATCTCATCAGATCTTGGAAGCTAAGCAGGAGTTGTCTGCTTTCTTCTTGGATGGGATACTGTCTCTGAATACCGAGAGTTGTAGGCCTGGGCAGCGATGTGGCTAGGAGATGGCAGTGTTGATGGTTACCCCTTAAGTGTGGGGTGAGTTTGCTCTGGATGCTCCAGTTGCCTCCCACATGCCAAGAACTTGTTACGAGAAATTTTCAAATGGACGTATTGGCGGTACAAAGGTACAGTGTCACTCACCGGTCCTCATAAAACGGTGAAATCTTAATTTGAACTGACATTCGTTTCCAGACTGCTTCAACATCACCAGAACTGATTTTGATGCACAACCACCACCCCGCAATATTTTCTGACCGGGGTTGCGATTCGCGCACCCACCGGTGTACTGCCAATACGTTCAAATATCCAATTAAAAAAAAAAACTTTCTTTAAAAACACGCTTTAATGAAATGTACTGTACTAGTATTGGAAGAACTCTACGACTAAATTTCGATTTAAAATTCTACGACTGCAGGAAGTGGCCCCGAAGCTTGCCATAACGTACGGAACCGTGGTGATTCACAGCCAACGTGAGTTGAGCGTGGACAATTAGACCCAAGCCGAAACATAACAAATACAAAATAATGTTTTAAAATATGTTTTTCGTTTTTAATGATAGAATATAGTATTGCCATCAGTATGGCATAAGTATACCAAGTTTGCAGTCGATACCACATTGGGAAGTGGGTTACAATGGAGTTACAAGATTTGAGGATACAACAACAACGACAACAACAACAGAGTGAGTTAAATAAAAGCGTGTAAAAAGGACCTGATACTTGCTGGATTTTTTTTTTATTTCTGATTCTACGGATTTGATCGTATGTTGCAATAGGCATAGGAGTTCGTAGCCAGGGCGAAAGCTATCGCTGTTATTAAGGCTAACGCTATGGACATTGTAAACCGTTTTGTTATGGTTATGAGTCATTTGTTTTTATTCAGGCCGAGACGAGGGTTAGTGGTTAATGTTAGGGTTGCAGGTCATGGTATTAAGAGTAAGGCTTGCGGTCGGTTTACAATTACTCTCATGGTTGTGGCTAAGGGTAATGATTGAGTTCAGGATAGCACCAGGGACTGGCCTATCAAGTGTCAAGTGATAGAGCCAAGATAATTATATCTGTGTAGGGAATTGACGGACAATCCGACTCACTACCATGGTAGTACTGTTAGGCCAGGAGCTGGATTTTAACAAGGCATCTAAAAAAGGAGTTTCTGGATACGAGAAATTGCTTGACAGACTGAAAGCAACTTGTAAAGTTCAGAAGAGAACATGGCAGGGTTGCATTGCAGAAGTAATCATAAAGAGGACATTTATGATGGGTGGGGTATCTGTGCAGGATAGAGGAGGGGCATGTTATTGATACGGGCATTTGATTGGCATCCAGAGGTCAAGGACCAATTGGAATACCTCGAGCTAGATGTGGCAATGATACTGTCAGCGCAGGCCACGTAGTTCCGATGTTGAATGCGCAACAGTTGAGACATTTGGCAGAAGTAGACAAGTGTGGTGTGGTAGCATCACTGGAATTGGCTGTGATGGCCTCTTGACTCTGTTTTTTGGGCTCAAGTCAGCCTCTCCGAGTACCTGTCATGTAATCTTGTGAACATTGAGATAATCTAGAAGTTGTCAAAATCCTTCGTCTCGACTCCTTCCACTGACCGTCCTTGTGTTTCGTGTTGAACCAACAGCCAGACGCACCCAATTCTGCCATGTGATCATGTAACTGCACAAGCAGCACAATTAATCCTGTTCTATTTCCCCCTGTTGCTGTTCGTATGTCCGTCTGTGCTTGTCTGTCTGTCGTGTATTTGTCTGCCGATCCTGCTACATTCTCCGCCCATAGCAAAACAGAAACAAAAATCGGTAAGTTTTGCTGTGAAAGTATAACGTTGTTTGCTGCTGCTGCTGCAATTTCGTTGAGTTGCAGGTGTTAAGTATCAAAGAAATTCATAATTTCAAGGATACCTTTTATATATTAATTTGGTCCGAATTACTTTTGCACATTTAAAAAATAAATTTTAACTGTGTTACATTGCTCGAATGAGTATTGAATGGATTATGCTCATCTCTATTGGCAGTCCTCTGCCAGAGGTGGAAATTCCACATTCCTATGGCAAGGACAATTGTTCCATAGGGTGACCACTGTTAAACTTCCCATGAAGTAGTATCATGAATTATGTACACTGAAACTTGAATTTAAATTAACCTTGTGACTTTATTGAAACATGGTTATTTGAAATAATGTCATTTTAAAGTTGATGTATAGTACCGTATATACATTAAATGTATAAACCAATGCATATATAATATACCAATTTTTGGTCGAAACCCTTAACCCAAAGCACATATATGCATAATAAATGAAGGCACTTTCAGTTAAAATTGACAGAGCTCATAAATTGTATGCATAAGATATACCGATAGAAAAATCTCTGTTGTTGAAATGTGCTTAACAAGTTGTGTGTTTTTTCTTTCACGACTTAATTACAATACAATATTAATTGCTAATGTTGTATTATGAGGTTTGTTTAAAAGTTGCATGCATTTGCTGAAATGTTCTTCCAGAACGCCGGAGTACTTTGTGATATAGTGGAACGTTTAGACCCCTTTAATCATTATTTGTGCAAAATACAATTCCAAAAAATGTTCATTACCAGAAAAATAATGTTCATTACCAGAAAAATAAAAATGCCCTTATACAGTGCATCCGCTAATGTTATACAAATGTTGACGACATTTCGGCTCTGTAATGTCAGCTATTGTTCAGCAATTCCTTTTTGTAAAGAACGTTATACTTTTAGTGGTATATGCAATGTTTTCATGGATATATTGTTTTGCGATTAAAACCTGTGCATTTGGTATATGAATTAACCTGCACATTTGACAAAATCCAGACGGTGATTAATAGGCGTGTGTGGTTTTGTGTGGCATGTATGTCGATGTGTGTACGTTCACTCTGCATGCATGAACACACATTTGTGTTTGTGTCTACCCTTACATCTATACTTGCGGCGGATGTACCTCATGTGCATTGTATCTGTACGCATATTCGAATGCTCCACTCATTGCATGTCTGGTTCGTACATATATATATGCATGTATGCATGCGCACTTATGCGCGTATGCTTATTTGTGTCTTCGTGTGTGCATCTGAACACTGGCATGTCTGTGCACGCATGCGTCTCTCCGTATGTATATGTAACGTGTGTGCACGTGCTTGCCTGTCTATACGCGCCTCTGAATATATATTGTGCCTCAATGTGCACATCCCCGTATTTCGTGCACGTGTGTGTGTGTGTGCGCGCATGCCTGCACGTGTGTGTGTGTGTGCGCGTGCGCGCGCGTGTGTACTTTGAAACCCCCAGCTCGAGAATGTGCCTCCGTACGACGTGGTGCCATCCATGAGGCCCGTGGTATTGGTGGGGCCCTCTCTTAAAGGTTACGAGGTTTGCATTGCACCGGGCCGTCACTCGCCGCGTACTGTCACTTCGCCCGCTCAGCCTTAACGGTGACATGGCCGACGAGCGGAGCGGTGCAGAGGTTCACGGTTTGGCACCGGCTGCTGCCCCGGTTGATGCTACCGCGGGTGCATTCCATTCCATCCTCGCATTTGCATGAAAAGGTTACGCGCCGTTTTTGCCTCACGGCAGACGTTGAAGATCCTGTGGTGTCGTTCGGAAAAGAGTAGGCCACGCGCTGGTGTCACACAGTCCGCATTTACCAAAGAGGACAACGTTATTTCGCGAGTTACAAAATCGGATAAATCCACTTCGAAGTATTGTCCCCCACTGTGGAAGTACTGTGGGACTATACTCATTTGTGAAACACAGTGTCTGGCTGCCAGATAGCCCTTGCGCTATACGAATTGCGCGAATATCAAATTGTTTGATTTGATTCACTTGGCATTCCTCGGCTTCAAAGCCACGAGAGTTTCCATCTTCACGACAAATGATGAGAGCAATTTTTTTGAATCTGGCTTTTCCAAAACGATTTTCGTTTCATTCCAAAATGAATTTTTTTTCTGTTTACATTGTTTTATGGTCGTGCAACTTTGCACCATTACATGGTGTTCTCCTGCCATTCAGTAATGTGTCTTGAGGTTTGGTTCAGGTTTTGTGTACAATATAAGTGTAAACAATCACTTCGAACTTCGGCTACTTCAAGTGAAAGTCATCTTGACGTGTCCCTGATGCAACTGAGTGTTTGGTGGCATTCATATGCATGGGCAGCCTTAAGCTAGCAGCGGAAATGTCAAAAGCTTGACATTTCATTGACGAGTCTAACGATATTGACAATCATTGTTATTTTAATGACCCATATGATTTTTGTCCTCAATAAAGACGTATTTATAATTATCAGCAAACGCAACGGTCTCTTAAAGAGACTCCCAAGACTCGGTAAGGATGTTTTCGAGAAATAGCGTCATCTTAATCACCGCTTACGGAGTATAAATGTTTTTTTTAGTGCAACTCGTTTGCATTAAAGACCAGGATGATTAATTAAAGATACTTGTGATGTAAGAGTGTATAAAAAAATGAGGTTCATTGTTTATTTTTTTGCAACAGTCAATCGTGTTTAATTTTTTTGCACGTGAAAAACATTGTTCTGTAAAAAAAAAATGAATGTACACGTTTATCTATTTTTTCTGTGTGTGTAGGTAACGGACATGATGCAGAAAGCACTATTTGACTTTTTAAAGCACAGGTTCGAGGGGAGGTAAGTGCTTGAATTGTGTGTGCTATTATTCAGTATTACTCCAATGCACGGTGACGTCTCGTATCATATTATCAGGGTGGTTAGTACGCCAGCTAACCACGCTTGCCACTGGCCCATTTCCACACAATCATTGGTTTGGGATCCTGCTTCCGCCTGGCGACTTTCTATTTTAGCTACTTTCAGCTTTGTTGTCCTCCCCTCCCACACCTCCGATTGCCACGGTTGGCTACGTACAGTCCGAAATAAGTTCAACGTACATACACATGCATAAGCAGGGGCATCATTTGTCCAGGCCCAGCAGTAGCGCGTTTGCCGCTTGTTACAGAGGTCCACAGTTCAAATCCAGTAACCACTCTGATGAACATTGCGGCTGTCATAACTGCAAGAATCCTGCATGCCGTCTGCTTCACAGCGGACGTGAAAGATCCCCTGGCATCATTCACAAGAGTAGGCCATGGTGTGCCGGTGCCAGGGACCAAATTTGCCACGTTCGAAAATGGCCTCCAAAATGCTACTCATTGTGGATAAGACGTCGCAATCATCGCCCCCCTACTGGCGAACCAATGTCCCATGCCACTCTTGCAAATGAGACTATCCTGTCCTCTTCAATTCTTGATTAGAAGTAATCGGGGAGAGAAAGTGGCATTCGGTGGGGTGCATGGGGATGGAGGAGGGCAGGTTACCGAGAACCGTATTGGGGGGGGCTGTAAGAACGGAGCTTGTGGGTCGGCCGTCAACTCTGCATCAGAGTTAACGGACTGAAGTGATTGTGCGGTGTGGCAGTATTGGTGGCATTTCCTGCGGTGACCTCTTGGTGTTAATCTTGAAAAAGGGAATTAGCGAAAGCCTACGCGTCGTCGCTGTGTGTTGATGAACGCCACCGGTGCTCTTGTCAACATCGCACCGCATCGCGCTGTGCCATCTCTCGACCCATTCGTCGCCTAACGCTCAACTCTGCTGAACCCTGCCAGGATTTCCATCACGCGGGTGACGGCCGATATCTCCCTCGCCAAGCGCTCTGTCCTCAACAACCCCAGCAAGCGGGCCATCATCGAACGCTCCAACACGCGCTCCAGCATTGGTGAGCATTGGTTGCCCTCCCATGTACACCCGCAGCTACTACACCCACAACCACAGTCACAGGTATTCATCTTTATCGCCGTTGCTGAGCGGTAGGATTACAAGGCCAAAATACCAAGCGGCCAGCAGAAAGGGACACTTTTGAACGCGTAAAGAGAACCGGGTTCGCGCGTTTCTACAATTGAGCAAGGTTGTCAGAATTTGGGAGCGGGAGTCAATATAAAAGAGTTGACGGTTTGATAATCTTTGTCAGAGTCAAGTCACAGTGTCGCCTTGCTCAAGCAAACGTGAAGCGGCACCCAACGTCTTTGGCTGCTCCGGTCGAGCAGTGGAACTTCCACATTGCCTGGACGAGAGCCAGTTTCTCCAAAGCGGTGACAATTCTCTCGGCCTCAGAAGGGCATAACGCTGAGTCGGTGCCAACATTGGATTCGAACTCACGACTTGCCGCTCACGAGTAGCGAGCTGGGACTGCAGCGCCACCCGCCCGGGCTTATAGGAAATAAGCAAAGTGCGTGTCAAGACAAAGAGACAAAGTATCTCCCTCGGCAAGCAAATGTTGCGGTGATGCTCATCTCCACCTGTTCCTCATGAGGCGGCGGTGATAATTGCACACTCCTGGAGGTGCATCCGGATTCTGTGCACAGACAACCACTGAAGCCTCCTCACGCACAGTGGCGCTCACGTATTTGGGCCCCCAGAGAGACAATTGTGAGCAGAGTCGACCCATGGCCAGGTTTTGTCACGGCTTTCTCAACGTTCTTCAGGCCCCTCTGTGTTGGACGTCACCGCCTGGCTGGATGTCTGTCGTCGCCAGGGCTGAATTTGCACCTCACTTGGTTGAATTTCTTTCGGCTTCCAATCTGTGCTAACCTGTCTGCCTTTTCTGTTGCCGCTAAGAAACAAACACAAAAATGTCACCAGATTGTTGCTGAACAATGCCTTTCGGGGCACCTCATCTATTGCTATATTCACTGCACGATCCGAGCTGGATATTTTACGTTCACCCTCACCAGCAGTATCTGTACCCATTCCCTCTACCTTCCCCCGCTATCCCTTTAAAGTGCTTCTCCTGCAAAATGTCAAAGTGTCGCTGGCTTTTGGGCAGCCTAAGCGCCGATTCCGTTGTGTTGTCCGACAATACGGCACAAGAGCAGTCGTTTTAGCGGTGGCTTGGATGGGTTTTGGGTCATAATCGGCGATGGAGAGTAATGTGTCACGGTCATCAGATTACCAACACTGCAGGTACTGGTTATTCCATATTATTTCTCCACACTGCAATGGGCAGTGTCCAGCATAATACGCAACTGAACCAGTGGCAGAAATTCGGCCTTCCCGTGGTAGATACAAGTATGCGTATGAATATGATAAGATGAACAGATTAGTTTTAATTTCCATGTACCAATTACGTTTAATGATTACTTATATATATAAAAATAATAATTACAGAGACAATTAATAAGGGGAACATGATTTGGTTGGCAGCTTGGGCGAATGTGAGGACGAAAGCAGACAATCCAGTTATGCCGATTATGACGCTGATTCATAAAGCCTCCAATCACAGTAGCGTGCTGTTATTGGCAAGGGTAAATCGATATTATAAAGTTGAATACATGACTGTAGCCATGAAGGTTATTCACTGATCTGGACCAACTCACTTTCAAATTTACCAAATGTGGGATTACAACACGTTACTTCCAGAAACTTGAGTGTAATCAGAAATCAGATAATTATTCCTCTTCAGAAGTCACCCTCCTTCTGACACTGGTCATAATGTTTGGCAGTGGGGCAGCACATTGCATGGGTTCAGTTGTTTAATTCCTGCCTCGAGAAGTTGAAAGCCGTAGAGGTGATTATGAATACAATCGATTGCAAATTACTTCGTTAAAGTGTCAAATGACAATTGTGCCCGAAGGCATTGTGCCGTTTGGGATAACCCATCGGGTGGAGGCACATTCTGACACTTTCTCCGGGGTGAACAGGCAAAATAGATTTGGCGGTCCTCATGTGAGCCAGTGGTGGACATTCCGTATTCCTATGACTGAGACCAGTCTCACTATCAGATGGGCAATGGCAATTTTCCTGCCTAGTGGCACCTGTTTTAATGGCTTAAAACCCGCAAACTTCCGATGGCAAGTCTTCCGCTCTAAACACTGCGCCACTCGGTCTGAAGATATAACCGGCTGGACAGCGGTAGTGTATTGTAAAAGCAGAAGTCCGGTTTAAATTTCACTCAAAAACGTGCAAACCATGCTGCTTATACAGATACTTTGCGCATTAATGCCCATTGCCCCGCTGTGCTGTGGTATGCTAACGCTATGCAATGCAAATACTGATATCCTGCATTCTGCCTTTCCCTTTGCCTTCCCTGCCTGTTGCTACGCACATATCCAGATGTGCTAGGTATGTACATACGTGCCTTTTGTCAACCCCCCCCACCCACTCACCTCTCTCCCCTAGCCCCACCGCATTGCGAAGGCTTCACGTTTTGTCCAAACAACGCAGTCAGTGGCGCAATAGGGGCAGGTATCCGGTGGCCGGCTCGGAGCAAGCGGCACCCCACGCTGCTGAGAGTCCCGGCTTTCAAAATCTGAGCTTCGTTCCGCGAGCGATTGAAACCAGTGGTTTCTTAACCTTTTTTACTGCGGCCTCGCTTGCAGCCTTTGGTTCTCAAGCTTAAATTTGTTTGAATAATGTTGATAAATGCGTAGGTTTGGTGAAACAAAGTAAGCTGTTACTTGCAGTGCCCGTGCTTAAGTAGTGTTTTGACGATTTACCTTTCTGAAACAAATCTGGCCATGTCTCGCACCCCCAGAAAGGGCATCACGCACCCCCAGGAGGTGCGTGGACCCCAGGTTAAGAACCACTGGATTAAACCAAGGTCTCACGGTATCGAAAATGGGCTGATTATGAAGTGTCCGCTCACTATCTTAGAGACCAATCGCCTAATGGAAGAGTTGCATATGTGTCTGCAGCGAGATATTGATCTGTGACTTTGTGCAAGCATTGGTGTTTTCTTCTTCAAACTTTTCTTTTAGCTGTGGCCTCAAGATACAATGCTGATGCCGTGTGTGTCTTTGTGAGCGTGCGTCTGTGCCTGTGCGCAGGAACTGTGGTGCAATATGGTATACAACAAATAGTCGGCACACTGAACTGCTAACGACCCGGGTTCGATTTACAGCCACGGATAAAATCAGTGGCAAGTGATTATCTGAACCTGTACTGGGGCCTCCCCGAAGTCCACTCAGCCTCAAATGAAAAACCTCATACTGTGTAAAGCGTAAGCACAAGGGAGACAAAGGTGGCTGGACGTGTGTATGGTGCTGAACACTTCACTCCCTCATGCGCCATGCCAGCCTTATTTATAGTCCATGAACAAATATCAGATTTTGCGAACAGCACTTGCCCGTACGGTTTCTAAGACTGAACAGGGGATCTCTGTGCGTGAGTGCACGTGTTTGTGCGTGTGTGTGTGTTGGGAGCGGAAGTGTGGCGGTTAGCACGCTGCGCTATGAACCCGGCCAACCTGAGTTCGATTCCCGCTCACGGCCGACACCAGTGACGAATACCTGAATCTCCCCAAGGTTGACTCTGCCTCGGATGAATACCTGGTGCGGTGTGTGTAAACATCGCCACTGGGGAGACAACGGCGGCCGAGCTTGGTGCTGGCCACCCACCCCCTGTGTACGCCCTGTCGGCCTTCGTAGGTGGTCGCTAACAGCACTTGCCCCAACAGTCTGTCAAAGGCTATACCGGGGATCTTTGTCTTTGTGTGCGTGTGGGCACTCGCGCTCCTGCCCGCGGGGCGCAGCGGAGGTGCAGAGTGAGATCGAGCGAATCTTCGAGCTGGCGCGGACGCTGCAGCTCGTGGTCCTGGACGCCGACACCATCAACCACCCAACACAACTCGCTAAGACCTCACTCGCTCCCATCATTGTCTACGTCAAGGTCGCCTCTCCCAAGGTACGTCTACACCCATTGTTTTGTGGGCGATAAGTGAACGAACGAATGAATGAATTATGCCTGGGTATCAGCCAGGCTTGGGTCCTTGAGGCTGGTCTTCGGCGTCCAGGCTGGCTCAAGGAAATTCTCAGCGCCTTGTCCCCTGACCTTGGTCTCTCGGGGGGTATGACCTCGATCCGAGGATTCGGCCGAGATGCTCCGGCCTTGAAACTGGCCTCAGTCTAGAGCAGGGGCGGCGAACCTTTTTTCTGCCAAGGGCCATTTGGATATTAATAACATCATTCGCGGGCCATACAAAATTATACATTTTAAAATTAGCCTGTTATATTTGGTCAAACATTCTATTAACTCACCCCTAATGTGATGGCTGGAACTGCTTCTCTTTGGTGAGGCGTGTGATGATGTTAGCTGGTATTGATGATGTTGCTACTCGCAACTGCTTTTCCAGGTTTGCTCTACCTAGATTTATTGAATTTCGAGTCCCGCCTGCGGTTGCCTTGGCAGGGCCAGACCAAATGATTTTGCGGGCCTCATACAGCCCGTGGGCCAGACGTTCCCACCCCTGGTCTAGAGGGTCCGGCTTTGACCGCCCGTGACACTGGCCTCACTCTAGAGCGGTGGTCGGAAATCAAAATAACCAGAAAAGCCATTTTTTTTATTCGGTAAAAAAACTCCATATTTCAAGAGCCGCAATGCACGTGAATACGAAGCGGTCCTTGATAAATAACGTCAAAAAGCAGTCCTTAAAGAGCCACACGCGGCTCAGGAACCACAGGTTGCCGACCCCGTTCTAGAGGATATGGCCTTGACTGGCCGTGAAACTAGCCTGAAACTTAAAGGCCCCTAACTTTGTGGCTCCTGGCCTCATCCTCAGCCTTGACCCCGTAGGTCTTGTCCTTGAATCAACGACCACTGGGTAAGTGGAACCCAATGGTCAGGAAATTTGTTAGGAGGATGTATTTTCGCAAGTGATATTATTTATCAGCTTTAGAAGTAGTACCATCTTTTATTTGTGATTTTCAAAGTAATGTAGTCTGATGACTGATACAGTATTATATATAAGATACTATGTTGATTTAATTTAATATCATTGCAATGCTATCATGTTTGTGTAAAACCATCTGTATGCATTGACTGCTGCTGTCCTACTTAACCCAAGCTGCTGTCGTGATTCTTGTCCCCATTTAATTGATTTTGGAATTTTTTCGGAGTAGATGCAAATGAACGTAATCTTAAAGAGTGATCAATTGCATATGCTAAGTCACAGTAATCTGATTCCACATTGAACACATAATAATACAATATACTTTACCGGAAGAACCAAGAATATGAATCCCTGCAGTCACGAAAGCTTTAAATCAAAATTTAAAATCCAGGAAGTCATAATTTCGTGATGATGTTTTACATAATTTAAAATGAAGCATATCTCATTGCTAAATATGGCTTTGAGAATTAATATGGCTTTGAGAATTAATATGGCTTTGAGAATTAATATGGCTTTGAGAATTGTTATTTACATTTATTGTGAGCTGCAACAATAATAATAATCAGTGCGTTGTTAAACTAAACTATTTTTATTTTACCAGGTAAGGCCCACTGATCTAAAAAGCTCTTTTTCAGAAGCGACCTGCCCACAAGTGATTGCCCAACGACGTGGCTTATCATGTGGTATTTTATCATCGCCAAATACTCTAAACGCATGTTTCTAAATGTGGAGGGAAAAACCCAAGGACCCGGAGAAAAATCCACGCGACCACGGGGAGAACATGCAAACTCCAAATATACAAGCGTCAGGGTCGGGATCGAACCCACGACCTCCTGTATACCAGGCGAGGTAGTTAACATCTTGCCATCGTGGCGAGATGTTAACACACTTGTACATCACGTGACAATTTAATTTGTTTGCCTGTGTCGGGTGGTGGAAGGCCTTAATTACACGAATTTAGTTAGTTCATTATGTGGCCTAACTCACTAGTTCATTACGAATCGGCATGTGACTGCTCGACCCTGCCTACGTTTATCGCTTACACACGCAACAAATATAAGTTAAGTATAAAATGAGTGGCAGAAGGCTAAAAGGGTTCATAACGGCCATTACAGACCAATGACCTGACATTGCCAAGGTCAAAGACTCGAGTCTGGATTGTATCCTCTCTTGATCAAGTCAAACACATAGGAGTCCGTCGTGTGGCGTTTCGTCAATGCTACTTTCACTGTGTTCACCACCAGATGGCGACTGTGGTCTCTGTGACAATCTAATCATCGTTGAGCGTCTTTGTGGAGAATATAAGTAACGAAATAATTTCTCCATGTAAAAAAAAGTATTTTTCTCACATCCCATTGGCCGCCACGGCCTTCTGGGAGTGCATCTCTTCAAGCAGCGTAGGTTTAATGCTGCTCACAAGACGCATTCCCATAAAATACCAACCGACAGATTCCTGGAGACTGACTATTGCAACGTGGCGTTCCCACTGCTGACTCTGGGTCACGAGTAGAGAATTGCGAACCCCCTTCACACTCATTCGACGAGGGAGATATACCCCGACTCTTAATGAAAAATATTTTATTATTACGCCCCCACTCACCCAGACTTGATACTCCTGGAAAGCCCCCTCACCAACCACGTGAGACCCCTTCCTCCTCGACCGATCTGCGCAGGTCATCACCCTTTCATATAGTAGCCACTTCCCCCCAAACCACCCTTCTCACCCCGCCCCCCAAACAATTGTGTATGAGAGAAAATGTCGACGAGTCTTCACTCTTTGTTTCAGGCGGGTGCTCCACGAATGTTCGTACAATTTCTGTTTTGATCATTTGTATTTAGCGGCGTGAGAGGAAATAAGGAGTGCCTCGCACATACAATACTTCCCCGCACCTCCGATTAGCACGGTTGGCTACGTACGACGCGAAAGAAGTTCAACTGACGTACGTACATACAAGGTGTCGCTTCAGAATCCACATGGATGGAGAAATAGGCTCGCTTGCTGAATTACCTTTTCAATCGTACATTATTGCGTCCACAGTCGGACGTCTGAGAACAAAATTCGTCTCTAAATCGGTGATTTCGCAATACTATAAATGTGAATGTTGCCGTTGCTATCATTTACGATGATGATGCCACCACTCTCATTGCCAACTCTGCTATTGGTGTTGTTGTTCTTGTTATTGTTGCGCTCTCAGGTTCTACAGCGGCTGATCAAGTCTCGCGGGAAGTCTCAGAGCAAACACCTGAATGTGCAGATGGTGGCTTCTGATAAACTCACTCAGTGTCCTCAGGTATTGCGAATTGCGCAAGGAATCCGACATTGGGACAGCTTCACATTTTCAGTATTTTTCTCCCACTTATATGTCACGTGAGAGCCTTATATTTATGATGCTCATATTTATGATGCTCATGTTTTTGGTCACATCACGTGTGCCACATTCTCCGGACTATAAGACGCTCTTGAAAATAAGATGCACCCACACATTCTGATTTAAAAATACATGGGAAAACAAATGTTTTGTTATAATACAGAGAATACTATGTATATAAACTTGATTTGAAGCTTTCGTGACTGCACGAATTACTCTTTGGTTCTTTCGGTAAAGTCACGTAGAAAGAAAATAAATAAAATAATAGAGTACGACGTTCCGATTGCAACACAAGCAACCGTCATCAGATATAACTATATACATACACAATTAATAACAAAAACTCGACACATTCGTCATTAATGCGGCCTTAAAAAAGCAAAGTTTTTGGGCAATGAATTTAAAGTACTTATAGCGAAAAGAAAATTCCAATAAACAAAATGTGTCATTTTATGCAATTGCAAAATGTATTGCAATTTGCCAGTTCCATAGCGGTGTGTGTGTGCTGTATGCGGGTCTCGCGACACATGCAAATAATAGCGCTATGAATTAAAATTTGTTTGACGAAAACGAAGTACTTGCATACTTAATTACACCACCGGTGTATTTAAGAACTGTGGCGTCACTACGAGTGCATAAGTTACAGCAGGCCATGTTAATGATTCTCACGGCTCAGTGCCAACTAAAAACAACACATCTGAGATGTTCAGAACATTGTAAAAACAAGATCCCTCCTACTTCTCACTGTTCCACCCCTCTCTCTGTGCACAATCTCGTTTCTGGAACAAACTTCCCCTCCGCATCAAGCGAGCACCCTCCCCGCCAAGACCCATCTCTTCTCTCTGGGCCAATCCTTCCCTCCATCCCTAGGCACCCCCGAAATTCCCGTTCCCACTAACCTCTCTCGCCTTACCAATCCCTATTCCCCTCCCCTCCTCTCATATGCCACCATATCACTTTTAGCTAACCTCGTTGTACCGTTTATATCCCGTGTAAAGTGCCTTGGATATGAGGTGTTATGTAAATATAAGATAAGATCCTTCTCAGCTGCCCTGTTTTATATATATATGTGTGTGTGTGTCAAGTTCATCTCTCATTTACACAATCAGGTTTAAGTAGGTTGGACTTGTGGTCACCTGAGTCAAGCCCAGGCCTGCAGCTACGTGCTGTTCCGTTTTGGAGCTGACCACAGTTTAAATGGAGACTGAGCTAAAAAAAAATTGTTAATTTTTTTTCTTGATGTAGGGGCACAGCTTGGCTGTATGTCACAGGGAGTTTTTAACATGAGTTTTAAGCTTCACTGCTCATAAAAGCAAAACCTTACGGGATGAAATTATGATGGTCAAGTGAATTGCTATATTGTCGTGCGAATTAACTTCACTGGGATTACTTTTACTTAGTTTAATTTTTATTTTCTCTCACAACACCGATCTGGCTCAACAAAGCCACACAACTGCTTTAAGTTTGTCTGTCACAGTTATATTGCATTGCTATTATCTAAAAGTAACTGCAGTGCCGCTCTTATCATATTAAAGGGGAATAATGCTGGATTTTCTGTGAGTTATTGGAGAAGAAACTTTGGGGCAACAGCGGTTGACCCCAATAGGGCTGCGGAGCATTAAACGTTGGTGGAAGTAGCACCCTCCCCCCCCCATCATCAATTGCAGGTTGCAATTGATGCTTAGCCCGAGGCTCTGACAGATGCACATACATACATAAATACATACAGATAGATAGACAGACATGTTATATACACTCATGCACGTATGTACACACACACAAATACAACAACAGTTTTGATTTGCCAATAAGTGGTAGCGATGTTATTAGCGTTCTCGTGCCAGGCTAGGAGCATGCTAAGCCATGGGAGCCATGGTGGCGAGATGTTAACTACCTCGCCAGGTATACAGGAGGTCATGGGTTCGATCCCGAGCCTGACGCCTGCTGTATATTTGGAGTTTGCGTGTCTCTCTCCCTGCTATACATTTACACACGATAAGACACTTTGTGATAGCCAGGTCGCTTCTAAAAAAAAAGTATATTGCTCAGTGGCTGGAAGATGCGCCGTCTCCTGAGGAAGTGCAAAAAGCAATCCAGGGCCTGAGATCAGGTAAAGCACCAGGCAGAGATGACCTCCAAGTGAATTGCTATGGAAGGGTGGCAGAGTGTGCAGTTGATTGAACCACTGGATTGGTTCTGTAGATTTCAAAGGATTGGAAGGATGTCCTGCTTGAAACAACTACTTGGGAATCTCTATCCTAAGATTTATGGGAAATGCCGCGGCAAGAATTATTCAACATTTTCTTGCCAAGCACAATGAAGACAATCTTACATAATAACCCCTAGGTGGTTTCAGGCAAGGGCAGTTCTACACAGATGCCATGTTTGCCATTTGCCTGTAACAACGGAGGCGTAGGGAATGTAAATATAATCTGCATCTCTGTTTTTGATCTGGTCATGGTCTACGATACTATCCACAGGCCAGGCCTTTGTGATGTTGGGGGGTTCCCTGTACATCTGCTCATGATAAGTAAGGACCTTCATGGTGGTGGACAGGTCAAGGTACAGCAGTGCAACCAGGAGTCAAGAGTTATTCCCTGTTTACCTTAGGGTGCAGCAGGGATGTCCTCTGGCCCGACACTCATATTTTTTACCGTGTAGTTTGAGAAGCCTTCCATCCCTATCTGTATCAGAGGAATTTCCATTTGGTAGAGATACAATGGGAGGATGATCGATGCCTGGGTGCAGTCAAGGGATGCCTCCATACTGGTCAAACGTGTTATGTATCTGATGACCTGCTTGCTACGTGTCGCTCACTGAGAAGAAATTGGAGCTCTTTCTCCCGGGGCTGGAGCTCACCATGAAAGCGTGGCACTAGCCTGGATACTTCGTTTCATACAACACTCCATCACCTCAACTATCCATGAGTAATGGGGTAGTTGTGGAGAGGGTGGAGGAACTCCCATACCTAGGCAGTGCGCTTATAGCTAGCTCCGGTTTGACAATGAGGGTTTCATTCTAAATCAGTCACGTGACATATTTTTCATCGGCTGGCTAGCGCTGTATGAGAGTTGATCCGAAGCCACACTGGATCTTTTCGGCTACAATCATGCCGTCTCTTCTCTACGCTTGTGAGATGTGGACCCCTTTACAAAAGCACCTACACTGCATTGCAACATGCAGGCAGGCCTGCTTACAATCAAACCTGGGTTTAACCAGGCTGTATATTGTGAGGAGCTCACAGAGCCGTCAAATAGATGGACAGGTTCCCATCAGTTAAGTTCCTGCAGCAGTTGAGAATGCGTTGTTTAGGTCATGTAGCCCGCATGCCCTGCCACTACATGCCCAAATAGCATCTGTTTAGCCATATAAATGGTGCTGAGGATACATGGCCCTGATAAGTGAAGAGATGGGCTGATATGGTATAGGATGTTTTGAAGCTGCTTGGACTTGCCTATTACTCTAAGCAGTGATGTCATGGTTGGTCTCTGTAGAGGAGGCTCATGAAGGATGCTACTTGGGCATTTGAAACAATAAACCTCCAATAACGATGGAGATTGGAAGAGTGACGCTCACAACAACAATCAGTGCCGGGCAGCTAAAACACTGCAAATTGACACAGTGCAGAACTCAGGTGGTGCAGCTACCCAGAACACCTTGCTCTTTCCCGCGCACTTCCAGTGCGTTTTTTTCACAATTTACGTGGCCTCGGAGTGCACCTAGTCCGGCGCAAGTGCTGTGGTGATGCCTCCGTCAATTGGTGGGGAACGCTGGCTGTTATTGTTTACATGTTTTGCATTGGGGGAAGCGGTGGGCATTGTGGTTATTTAATTGTCCTATGAACCCAGCGACCTGAGTTTAATTCTTGGCCATGGCTATCATCAGTTCGTCACTCGTGTTTGTTGGGTCAATGAAGTGAAGGAGAACGTAGACCAGGGGGGATTGGCGACGAACTGAGCTGTGAAATTGGCAGACACCACACAGTGACGGAGGGACATAATTCACATCCGTGGTCGCTGCTGGCCAGACAGACGGTAGCTGAATAAGAAACCTGAACCAGTTCCTCGAGGTCTACTCGGCATTAAATGAATGCATGGTGCTGTGTCTGAACATTATTGTCAACGGTGAGGCAAAAAGCCACCGGACATGTAAATGGCCACACTGCCCCTCTCCGTGTTCACACGCGGGCGCGCTCCTCCTTGCACCGTCGGCAGGACCTGTTCGACGTGATCTTGGACGAGAACCAGCTGGAGGACGCGTGCGAGCACCTCTCCGAGTACCTGGAGGCGTACTGGCGCGCCACGCATCCACCCAGCGCCAACCCGCCCAACCCGCTACTGGAGAGGACCATCGGCAACACGGCGCCCGTCTCCAGCGTGCAGGTAACCGGCGCACGCACGCACGCACGCACCCACGTGCCAGCACCCCACATACCACGCGCTAGCACTGCGTGCCAGCACCACGCGCCAGCAGCGAGCCCCCCCCTGCCGGCAATCCACGGTTGGATGAAGGCTGCTCCCCACGCCGTTGTCCGTCGTAGGGAGGTTTGCTTGACCGTACTTCACCATGCTGGGCAGTGCGAGTTTGGTGAAGGGACCAGTGTGCGTGGTGCTGGAAATAATTCAATATCAGGGCGATTACATTTTAATTACATTTAATTTTTGATGAGCACCAAAGCCCGCTTAGTTAATAACAATTAACTCAATATTTACAGTTCATCGTTTGCACTTTCATTACGTTAAATAAATTACTGCTGTGCAGTTTAGTCCAAGTCACCATATGTATGTATGTTGAACTTCTTTTGCACCGTACATAGCAAACCATGCTAATAGGAGGTGTGGGGGAAAGACCACAAACTAAACACAGAAAGCACCATGAAGCAGAGGGGGACAGCTGAGCTCACTGGGGGTGTGAAAGGCTGGAGAGATTTCCTGATCTGCTGGAAGAATAATGATAATAAATATAAAGACGAATTTTAGTTCACTTTCAGAGAGACAGAGAATTATTCTGAAGCCATTATAGATGAGTGGGAAGGCAGCCAACACCGGTGCCAACAATTGCCCAAGCTCTGTGGTCCTATATTTAGATGTTTGTAAAATATATATACAAAAAAAGACCTGGAATGCCTCGGCATCTAGAATAAGAATCTTTATTTATACTGGAGGAATCCAATGAGCTATGATGCTCTTTTTCACAGATATCCAGTTAGTTTCACAGATGTCGAGTAAAGCGCATGGGTTCACCAAGTTCAGTACAGCAGATGAATGATCATAATAATCACGAGCATTTTAAATTGTGTCATTCATGCAAACTGCGTCTCACAGCTCCACGCAATCTGCAACACCCAGTGGCGCATTAATATTCAGATGTTTTCAACCAATTAATGTTGCTTCATAGAGCGTTGCCATCATTTATATCAATTGGGGGCAGCCTAATGGTGATAGATAATGATGATAGATAATTATAGCATTAGCGTGAAGGCTAGTATTTGTGGTATGGTTAGGGTAAGGATCAATGCCAGTGTTGAGGAATACACTGCAGCTAACTTTAGTAAGAGGTTTTTGGTTCAGATTATAAATCGTATTTGGTTAAAACTATTTTAATTTTACTAGGCTCACTGGGCTATACAGCTTTTTTCAGAAGTGACCTGGCCACAAATTATAGCCAAACGAAGTCGTTTATCATTTGGACATTTATGTCAGCCAAATATGCTCTAAACGCATGTTGATTCTAAATGTGGAGAAAAAAACTGGAAAATCCTGAGAAAAATCCACGCTGCCATGGGGACAACATGCAAACTCACGACCTCCTACATACCATGCGAGGTTGTTAACATCTCACCAAGTAGGCGAGGCAGTCAACGTGGCTATGTTTAGAATTGGCGTAAGGAATAATGTGAACATGGGCACGAACATTACATTATGTACAGGATAATCGAGAGACATGACGTTCAGAAGAGTGACGAGAGTTAAGGTCGGTGTTAGGTTCCTGCAAAGGTAGTGTTAATGATTGGTTCGTGTTAACACAATTGCAAAGGTTAAGCATGAACGCGAGACAATTGGCAAAGCCACCTCACAAATCTTTCTTGTCATAGCATGCGTGATGCCTTGAGAAACAAGTAATAAGATAAATAAATCGATTCCAAAACGTTCCTGAGTAGCCCTGTGGGTTGTTGGTGTTCCATGCACACTCCCTTGTGGTCTGCGTGTTTATTTGCCCCAGGGCAGTCTATAGCCTTCCAAAGCAACCAATACACACCCCAAATGGTGAACCGGAATACAGAAGACATTATCACTCTTAAAAGTATAAGGACCTGGCGATTGTTGACAAAGGGCTGACAATTATAACCCGCTGCCTATTCTGAGAAAGAGTTGGAGACCCTGCCGTTGAACCGGCAACCTGCTACACAGTGGTAGGTCTTACCATCAACTCCACCAAAATTAACTGTCCAGATATATTCATGTATTGAACACTCCACCTTCCCCCACAGCACTCGGTTGATTACGTATGAGATGCCTTGCGCTGTCTGGAAGCTGCCTGTTATATTTGCCACACACCAGTGCCTTGGGTCTTCCCAGGTATGATAATGCTCACCACAAAGCACACGGTCCAAAAAAACGTCAACCCCCTTGCAGAAAAATATTCACTGGCTTGAAACATAAATGCTCGCCTGCCAGTGATCGTGCAAATGTGGCTTTCATTAAATGAGAGCAAGTGAGGAGCTCACCGATGCTTGAAAGATATGAACAAACTTCCATATCCCTGTCAGCAAATATTGATTGATTTGTTCTGTTAGCAGACATGCCCAGTCACTACATCACCGGATCGCGAAGCCTAAGCATGCACAGAGATGGGCTGACATGGTACAGGAAAAGGACCTGGAGCCTAAGCGTATTTGCCCATGACTCGTACTCGTGATTGATGCTTCTCGTCATCGAGTGGAGGTCTGCCAATAACAGGAGGCAGAACAGCGAAGGTCGCAATGATCGTAAAAAATATAGTAACCCATGGCACCAGAATCTGTTCAAAATGCTCCAGCCAGCGAGTCATATCCACTCCACACTTGGACTCGATTCTCAATGATCTGGCACTGGCCAGGCGAGACAAATCATAGCTCTTGTTATTGTTGTCTGTGTGTATGAACGTGCATGTGTACGTGTGTGCATCCACATTCTGCCAAACCTCAGAGCGGTGGGGTCGTTGCCTCCCACCTTGTGCACGGTGAGGAGCTCACGGACATCTCTACTCCCGAGCGGACTTCGGCCGAACCCAGCGAGACTGACCCCCGACGACCCTACAGCAACCACCACCACCAGCATCACCACCAGCACCAACAGCACCACCACCTACAGAACCACCAGCAGCAGCAGCAGCAACAGCAGCGCGTGCACTCCCCGACCACTCCGTCCTCCTCGTCGTCCCGCCAACACCTCGCGTGCCAGTGGATGGATGGAAACGGCGGCGGCGGCGGCAGGGACGGGGGTAACGGGATGGGGCCCAGGGTCGGAGGCGACCGGGGCACAATGGGAGGTGGCAACAACGGCCGCATGGGCAGCCTCGCCCGGCAAGACACGTTCGACTCGGAGACGCAGGACAGCCGAGACTCGGCCTACACGGAGGAGCAAGGTGAAGAGGACTTTCTGGAGGGGCAGCCGCAGTCCCACCACCATCAGCACCATCAACAGCAGCAGCAGCAGCATCACCACCAACAGCAGCAGTATCAGCAGCAGAGGTCCCGTCACAGGAGCCGCGAGCGCGAGTACGCAGACGAGGAGTCGACGCCGCCACCGATGACTTCGAACGACGTGCGGCAGCAAACCTCGTCGTCATCGCGGGGATCCTGGGAGAGGAACCGGGGTCGCGAGCGGTCGAGGGAGGTCGATCGCAACGAGCGAAATCGGCAGCAGCAGCAGCAGCAACAACAGCAACAGCAGCAGCAGCAGCGACACAGGTCACGTGATCGCTCTCACGATCGCTACTACGAGCCCGACGGTGACAGTGGTGGTGGCGGCGGAGGTGGCGGAAGTGGTGCTGGTGGCGGCGGAGGCGGAGGTAGCGGTGGTGGTGCAAGCAGTGCCGAGCTGATGATTGTCAAGAATTCCAGTGATGCGTGGGCACAGGATATGTACGTGCGGCCATGAGGTGTTGGCCCATGGTCGCCGAGAAATGTTGAGCGTGCGTGCGTGTGTACGTGAGTGTACTACTTGTTGGGCTTAGTGATGAGAAGTGTGAACATTTGTGAGTGCTTGTAAAGGATAATATTTATTTAGTGGTGTAATATGTTATACTTTAATGGATTATTAATATAATCAGAGTATTTTATTCCTTTTTTTTTACAATTTCCTCCAATGATTACATGTTTATTTCACGATGATTACAATTCACGTTTATTGTGTTCATTTCTATTTATTACTGTTATCGTCCATTTCTACATGGCCATTGTTTTTTTTTATGTTACTATTTTATGTTGTAAGTAAAATTATACTACTCTATCGTTGTTATTACCGTTGTTATTATTAACGTTTAAGACATTTCAAATAACGGTGACGTGACAGTTGGCGATTATTTGAAAAAAATAAAAATGAGATTAAAAAAAATACAAAATACGAAACTAAAAAGAAACCAATGACGAGCAACAAGTCTGTGCCGAGACTTCGGGCCTCATTCCTGTGGCTGCAGAAAGAAATTTCTGCCAATATTTGGTGGAAAATTGACCAAATCCCAAACAACTAATTTTGTTGCCAATTTTTGGCCGTTCTTTGCCAATAACAGAATTCAGGTCACTCGGTCTCTTTCACTTGCATGTTCACCGAGCCACGATCCTGTGCTCCCTGGATTTCCCACAATCCCCCACACGCCCGCTTAACTCACGTAAAGTTCCTTGGCTGTCTTGTGTTTGTTTACGTTTATATGGATGTAAACAACAATACTCTCTCTCTCTCTCATGATGTATAAAACCACGTGAAAACATTCCTTCCTTCATGAATGTTTTATTAATTTATCTATTTATATAGATATTTTAATTGTGTGTTTTGTTTTGACTCAGCAGTTTCATTGTGCATTCATGTTAATTTCATTTTCCATTATTTTGTTCCATAAGATCGTTCTCTCATTTAAGATGCCTCGAACATTTTAACTGGGCTAATTTTTTTTCCGATGAGCCGTCGTTTGAGATGGGAATGCATTCTTTCTGTTTGACTGCCTTCAACGCTTCAATATTTCTGCTCCCATCCACATGCAAGTTTAGCTTTTTACCCCTAGGTGTAACGCTTCTCACATACATTCTGCAGTCTCTACGCTCGAGCGATTATTAGGTGGAGTTATTGATGTACCTTATGCCTCCCATATAGAATCGCTGAATGTTTTTTGCTGAATGCATACTGCCAGTAGAATTCTGCGGAAGCCCACTGATGCGTTAAGATCCGTTGAACACGAGGCGTGATACTCGCAGCTTTTGTTTCATAAATGGGGGGGGTGGGTAAGGGTTAACGTGTCATCGTCAATTAATGCCACTTCGCAAAAGGCAGTGCCACAAGCCATTGCGTCATTTTGAGTTTAGCAAGGAACAATTAGGTGGTTAGCATTTCAGTTGTGGCCTCTCACCGGGTTAAGACACGTCAGAGCAGCATCGACTGCCAATGCCCATGGATCAGTGCTCATCTCCATCCGCAGGCCGAGAGCCAGTGGTGGAAATTTCGCTTTGCTATGGCGGTCTTACAGTCAGCAGTCATTGTAGGACGGCACTTTTACCTTTTTATGGCGCTGTCTCCCTATGACGACTGCAGTTGACTTCATACAACGTATCTGTTGTTTTATTAATCGACCCCGGATGGCTGTGTGAGCAGTGCCAACCCTCATCCAGGATTTTTGAATATTTGGACTCGCAACCTTTGTGATTACGAGTGAAGTGTCCTGCCAACAGTAGTTTACTAATTTTTATACTGTATTCGTCTGTACATTGTGTTTTTTTTTTCAGGTTATCTTTTGCCAGTAACGATGTCTGCTTGGCCTGGTGATATCTTTTATAAGTGTCGGCTTTGTGAGCCAGTGTCACGGAGCCATATTTTGTAAAACTACACAATGATTAAATATTTCCCCGTTTATAGGATTTTATGGAGGTCACGATAGTGTACTGGTCGCTCATTGTGCAACAATCCTAGCGACCTGGGTTTAATTCCACACCATGATGACAAGACTTATTTAAAGCTTTTCTGGCCCACTGCTAGGTATACTCAGCCTCGAATGAATGTCTAGTACATTAGTGTGCTCAACAAAAATACTGGCCGGTGGGACATCGCGTTGGCCACGCCCCCCACCGCCTTGTGTGCTATGCCAACCTTAATAGGTGCTCGCTAACAGCACTTGCCCCTGTGATCTGTAAGGCTAAATAGAGGACCTTGGTCTTTTGTTGCGTATAGCGGGTGAGGGAGCCAAGTATGGATTGATCATTTACTTAGCTCCAAGCAAGATGACTCATCATCCATTACAGTACCAAGCAAATGGTGCCAAAGTCAATTGCTGCTCTTGAGGCTTCCGCAGATTTCTAAATGGGTACGGCTTGCTTTGTTTTTACCCTGTTCCGTTTTACTTGGGCAGTCTATACCCAGTACTTGAATGTCACCTTTGTCTTTGGATGTTATCTCAGTGCAAAACTAGCCTTACTGTATTTGTTATAAGATTGCTAGATAACAAATAAATAAAACAAATAAAAAAACAAACAAAAACACACACGAAAATCCCACGTAAAAAAAACTTTTTATATTGAAAATGGTGATGCTGTAAAATTATACAGAGTGTAAATATACAAAAAAAGGGTTGTGCTCTTTGTAAAAGTGGTAAGTATGGTGTAATTTATTTAAAATGGTCAATGCTGATGTTTTTTCGGGGGTGGGAATTTTTATTTATTTATGCATGTGACAAAAAAATCTGAGAGATTTTTGTTTTCTCTTGTGTTTGTTTACCTGAAGTAATAGAATTTGTGTATGCCAGTGACATGATTTTCATTTAACTATCTGATGTAGTAGGACAAAAAGTGGCATTGTGTTAATCCATATTTAATGGTTTAACACCATCAAGTTTACATCTTGCTCTATTACCAGTTATTATGGATATTTTTTCTTCTTGATACACTAAAATGCATAGTCTTGCACTTTCTTCAAATTGATGGAAATATAAATATATATAAAATTGTCAAAAACAGCAGCAGCAGCAGCAGCAACAATATAAGAATATGGTTTAAACGAAGCAGATTTTTTTTTCCCCATCATATTTTGGTAAATTTCACTACGGTGTGAATGAATTCCACAATCCTCCACCTTAGCCTGGAAATGTTAAGCAAAACTTGTTTTAAAAGGGACTAAAAGGAAAGCATACATTTAGCTTTATTTCATCGCGTATCATATGACTGGCTGTTTCGGTGAAACAGGACAACTTCGCTTAGATCAAATGGCATTTTTCGCAACAGCACTCGCATGCAGAAAAAAAACCCCGTCAGATTTACTTTCACCCCACCGAGGAGGAGATCTTCACAATGGCTTTATGTGTTTAACTGTCTTTGCTAAGGTTAGCCCTGCGGCTGTCAAAGTGAACCATGCTAGGGCCGACCCACACTTTTGCCATGGCAACTCGTTTTAAAAAGAAAATCAACTGTCAATATGGCTTTAAACTCATCGCCTAGCCGCACATTAAATGACAACGGTTCGCAGTTAAAATGTCTTGCGGTTTTGCGTTGGGGCACAAGTTGGTGTTGTTATGCGGGATGTTGGGATTTATTTATTTTTACGCTAGATTGTATCATTACTGGGAGTCGGGGCAAAAGGGAAGAGAGGAGGAGAGAGTGAGCAGGGTTTAAGGACACACGCCACTTTGATCGGTACATTTGCCACACAATTGATAAATCATGGGTTCAGATCAACGAGGCACGTCAGCTGCCAATTTGTTAATTTTGATCTGACGCATCGAAAATAATGGGATTCATTGAGTGGAAAGATGCCTCATCATGCACATTGTACTTGATAAACCATAGCACCACGATATAGAAACTTGTGTTTGGTATTTGTTTTTAAAATCTGATTATTTAGTTCTGTGGTAGAAATGTTGGACTGTCCGTAAGGTTGAGAGTTCAAATATGAGTGAGGGGTTGGTAAAACTCAGCCCCTTCATTCCTTTTTGGAGTTCATTAAGTGAGTACCACCTCTTGGGAATTCAGCAGTGGTTGTCCTGCGGAGAAACTGACTCCTGCCATGGGAACGATGAATTTCCACCGACTGGCTCAGGGCCACCATTGGAGACACCTCATTGCTGATATCAGCATTCCGACCGTCGTGACCTTTCTACTGTACGTATTATAACGCTAGATTTATTACTGAACAGTATCCAGATCATTTTTTTGTCGAAGACATGCTTCCTAACAAACCCCATCAAATAATATAAAATGTGAGTGTTCATCTAGGGACAGCCAAAATAGCGTTTTACAATTTTGCCTAAATGCAGGGTTTGCATAGAAGACAAAATTTACAAAAAATTTAAGAAAATGTTTACAGTAGAAACATTAGATTTGCTGGGTTTTCTATTTCTAAGTGAGACGTTGGCTTGTTGAATGCACACACACAAAACACTCCCATAGGTTTTTTTTTTGCAAAAAAAATGTGGTCTTGCATCGAAGTAACTATTTATGTTATAAAAAAACTTCCGATGTTTTAAAAAAGAGAGAAATGTAACTTAAAGCATGATTGCTGCATGTCACAATGGTGCAAAGTGATTTATGAAAGCATTTATATCCTTTTGTATTCACTAAAAGTTCCTTCCACATTGCTTAGATGTTACTTTGTAAATGCCTGCCGTTGCTACTGTATGTAAAGCAATCCAATTTCATTTGCAGCCACTTTTTGGACTTGTTTGTTTATTCTTGCGAGTCGTCATTTCCTTGCTTATTACTTTTAGTGCCGATTGCAATTGGGGCAATGTGCCGGGCATCTTCACGTGCTGCGAGTCGTTTGCAAGCTCTCAGATCCATTTGGGATTGACTCAGTCACTCCTGCACGGCCATACATAATGTGCAATTTCAACTCTGGCTCAGAGCCACGTAACTTGCCACGAGCACAGCCCATTGCTAGTTTGAGTGCGGGGAAGGTGTGGTGGGTGGTAGAGTCTCCACTATAGGGAGCTAAGGGGCCGTCCATAAATGACGTCACGCATTTGGAGGGGGGGGTCAGACATTTGTGACGATGTGTGACGAGGGAGGTGGGGGGGGGGTTGAGAAATGTGACGTCACATCAAAACGCGCAACTTTAAATAAATATATAATTGTTTTGACAACACTAATTGTTATAACAACACTCCTACAACATAAGAGTGCAGCGCCACATTAAATACGCACTACAACGACAATAGTTTAAAGCGATTTGAAGCATAAATTTTTATTTAAAGCTCTAGTGACGGCAGAGATTCATATTCTTGGTTCTTTCGGTAAAGTCACGTAGAAGGGAAACAATAAAATAATAAAAATATAAAACAATAAAATTCTCACGACGTTTCGACTGCAACACAAGCTTGTGTTGCAGTCGAAACGTCGTGAGAATTTTATTTTTTATATTTTTGTTATTTGATTGTTTCCCTTCTACGTGATTTGAAGCATGTTTTTATTTTTTAGAAAATGGAAATATGGTTTTAGGGGGGAGGGGCAGAGCTTTGTGACGTCATATTTGAGGGGGGGGGGGGTCTGACTTTTTGTGACGCCGTGTGACGAGAGGAGGAGGGGGGGGGGGGTCAAAAATCGTCCAAAATCGCGTGACGTCATTTATAGACCGGCCTCTAAGATGGTGTTTGGCCTACTCTTCCATGCTGGCCAGACGTCTTGGAAGATATAGCGGGAGCACCCACACTTTACCCCCACCACGCACGACCTCCTTGAACGACTGCGTCACTACAACCACTGCTGGGTGGACGGAGGCGGGGAGATTCAAGAAACTTGCCCAATTATTTGGCAGCTGCCGTGCGAGCAGATCGAATAGAGCCGGTGTCCTCTTGATTGCAAGGTCCAGTGTGGTCTGACCGTTATACCACGGTAGCATCCCACAGGGGAGGCTCATCAATTTCACCCCGCAGGAAATGGCGGTTGTGAGAGTGAAGCATCGAAAGGTGCGATCTGAAGCCAATATTTTTGCAAACCTTCGATAAAGCTGCCCAGAACACGTACAATAAGCCAACAACAGAACCCAGTTGCCAACGCACTTTGATCAAAAAGAGAAACGGGTTTTTATTGGACATATTTTACATCGTTCATATTGGTTAAAAAAAATGCAAAAAATTATAACGATCGTGTTCATCACAATAAAACATGCGCCTTATTAATTGTTTGCAACCAGATGCAAACTATAACGTGCAGTGGCATTCGATCCACATCATAACGCAACACCTCTCTCTCTCTCCTGTCGTCCTGTGTTTTACAGCCAGTGGCTAAATAACGTTATCCCAGCTGGGTTGACTCAATTGGAAGGTTACAAGCTCGCATTCCACTCGATGGGTCAACTCAGCCCTCCATCGTCCCTCGAGGGTCGATACAAAAAGTCGCACTTTATGGGAAGCGAACAAGTGTTTGTTTTATGGATGCACTGGCCCCAGCCATAGTAACGTGCAATTCCAACTGCTAGATCGGGGGCCACTTGATGGAGATGAGCATCACCCAACGGCCAATTACGCATGGAGATATTTGCGCTTTGTTAACAGAAGCATTATCCAGGCCTCATAATTCAGCTCGTGTCTTTTACCACAACTTAAATGGTAGGAAGGTCACCAGCCAAACAAGGCGATGAGTACAGGAGCCTAATGCCTTGCTATTCACAACACTGCAGGGACGCTTCCTCTGTTATATGCGAAAGCATCTATGCCCATAGCACAGCCGTCAATAATTATCTTCAATGGAAAACTCAACAACAGCAGAAAATAGCACTTTGTGGTACAACGATTGAGACAGGTGGAGAGTGTGGAACTTGGGTTATTCGTGATAAAAAAAGAGTCCGCGATTTAAAAAAAAACAATATTATAGACACTACAACAATGTGGAAATACTATATCCGCATTTTGCACATCATTGTCAAAATATAATATAAAAAAACACATTGTGCAGGTTCATGCAAGCCTCTTTCGAACCAGCACCACTACTCAAACAGCAGCGGCTTGTAAAAAATATTTTTGCATCAATTAATAACATTAATAATATTGTAGATCGACTTAGAAATAGTGTTTCTGCGCAATTATGGTGAAATGCTAAAAGGCGCTCCTAATAATCTCGGACCTATGCACTCTGCGTGACCGATCCACGTCAGATCCATCTCAGCGATTATGCCACCCGCGGACACAGACACTCTGCTTTTATCCAACTCTTAGCCTTTCTGCCCCATAGCTCCAATAACCCCCCTCCCACCCTGCCCCCCTTTAGTTATTGATAATATAATGCACCCCCCCCCCCCATTTATCATTAAGCCAAAGTTGTAAAGTCTGATAATGACTGTAAGGACTTGGCGGCAAGGTGGGAGGAGTGGTGGTGAAACGTGATTCACTCTGCTTAAAAGCATTCAACTTTACACTCTTTAATAGTTGCACGTTCAAATCCGGTTTGGGAGTTAGCTAAGCCCATCGTTCACATGAATCCTATCGTGTCGATCAAATGATTGGCACTTTGTGTGGGAAATCAACAGTGACTGCCCTGTGGAGAGACTATCCCGTATCGTGGGAATGTGGAATTGCCACCATGAGCTCAGGGCTGTCAATGGAAATGTGCGCTGTCCAATGCTCGACTGAGCAGAGAGACACTTTGACTTGACTTTTGAAAAAAGCAATCGATTATCCACAGCAACCCAAAGCGGTAGAGCCTATACGTGACGTTCTCTGTGTGTTTAAACAGCAGTGGTAACGCTTACCGTGGATATAGACCGTCAAAATAGAACCATGTTGGTAATTTACAAACGCAAGTGCCGAATCGCAAGGATACCTGCGGAGTGACGAGAATTGCAGCGGCGGTGGCCAATACGTTGACGGCAAAATATTTTGTCGTGGAACTCGGAACAAATGCTCACACGAGGGTCAGTGTCGTATTATCCTAGTAGCACAAGTAGCTACATATGCTACGGGTCCCGCACTTTCATGGGCCCCGCGCTAAATGCTTTCAAGCTATCAATTCCGGTTAGGTGATTCTGCACTTGCTCTATTACTATAGTACTATACCGCCTCCAACTTTTAGAAACGACTGGGTGTTTAAGGTGAGCGATTCGTCGTATTATTTGGCTGTATAGCAAATGAAAAAAAAGTACAATTACTTTAATATGCAAGTGAAAAATCTGTGTTTTAATATTTGCGGTTTTTATATTTATTTAGGGCCCATTTATAACATCATGCTACAGGCCCCGCACAAAGCTTAATCCGGCACTAACGAGGGTACAACAATTATTGTTCCAGCCGATGGAAAAAATAAAAAAAATTCTCCAAACCCGACTCAAGAATACAGACATGAAACCAAAAATATTTATTCCAATAGATGGCGCTACTTCTTTGTTAGACTCCTCAGCGGCAACTGTCGATCATCGCTCAGTGGAGGATCGCGGAGCCCGTTGAGATCCACCAAAATATATCATCGCAGCGCTCGGCGTATTTGCCCACCGTTGCATTGCAGAGGATAGAAGGGCAACCTAGCTTGGCACAGGTTGCGTCTGAAATATGGCACGCATTGTAGATTTACTCAAGAAATAGCGTCTCTGCAAACTACACTGGATTGTTTAAAGGCCGCTCTCGGCCCCCTCCTCCTAACCCTTCGCTCTCCACGTCTCATAAAGACGTTCAACTTCCAAAATGCTGATCTTCCAAAGCCCTCGTCTGTCAGTGGCTACATTTGAGGCTGACATTCGTTTCGTTATGTTTTACCATCGTAACTCATCAGAAGTGTGTCGTGCAAGTAAGGAAGACCCGTCCCCCTGGAGTTCCTGCAGTCAGTAGGGAGCACTGCATCCTTTCGTGGTGCAGGCCCTGGGAGATGCAGCCGATGAACTCGTCTGGTGCCACTCCGATTGGCCTCCCCACCTCTTATCCACTCATAGATGGCGCTCATTCGCGCTCTGCGCTGGGTTGCTTCACGTGCAATCAATGAATCAATCATCTGATGCAGCAAATGGTGAAGTGCAGGCCTTGAAATTACTTTCTCACGCCCACGCTGGTAGAAGGTACTCGACCTGAGGAAGCTCTTGAGAGCCCCCCTAGAGGGTTTTTTTGGCCTACTCTTCCACGATGACCACACCTCCTAGAAGAGATGAGAGTACCCACACTTTACCCCACCCCACCCGACCTACTGATGGACTAACCGTGGTGTACCCGTTTATGCTACTGGGTGGACAGAGATCAGGGGGATTAAAAGACAACAACTTTCAAGCTGCCACACCGCGAAGATTGAATCGGCGACCTCTGTCCAGCGTGTTAACCATTACACAAGGACAGCTTATGATGTATTTAACGTGTTATCAGGCATTGCTGGGCTATGCTAAATCAAGACAACAAAAACACAATTTTTACAATCGGGTTTTGCGCAGTCTTCAGTGACCAGCTTTTACCATCACCTCACGAGACTAGAAAACTTTAATTTTGATCACAGGATGTTTTCTCGGATTCGAATCAAATATCACAGCAGTGCTGGCTCAGTGCACTGACACGGCCATTGTGAGCCTCGAACATCACTTCAATTCGTTTAGAATCGCGTCTCGTCAACCGAGCGTTCTGACCGATGGTTTAACGAAATTGTCACGCACCAAATGTCGAGCTGATCGACTCCAGCAAAAGGGAGAGGGGTGGTGAAGGCAATGCTGCTGCAAGGAAATAAAAGAGTCAAAAAAAAGTCAAGCCAAAATGCACCTTGCTGACACAAAAGTCGCGTGCGGTCGAGTGCGCCGGTTTGAAGGTGAACCATTACTTTAATTCGAGGCTCAATCGCCCAAAACCGCCCCCTCAGTCTCTACTCCTGTCGACATTTGAACAACTGTCCTTGTGTGTGTGTGTGTGTCCCCCGCCCCCCCGAAGACTTTCACAACAACCACCACCACTGCCACCACTGCCACCACCGCCGTTGTCATCGTCACCTCCTCCTCCTCCTCGCTCCTCCTCCTCCTCCTCCTCTTCAGTCCCTCTCGACGACGCCCAGACATTTCTGGCTGCCGCCCACGTGCTCCGAGCCGGGGATGTGGGCACCGTAGCGGTCGACGCACCAGCAGAGGCCTCGCTTGCGGCCCTTCGACGGGTTGCACTGCACGCAGGCACCGAGCAGACGGACGTCGTGTGGTGGTGGGGGGGTGGGAGGGGGGGTGGTGGTGAGATCGTGGGGAATTCAAGCAACCGTGCGCGCTCACTCATTCTCCCCTCTCGTTGCTCGTTCGTTCATTGATTTGGAATGTTTTTGCTCGACGAAGCCGAATCGGTCGTTCGAATCGAGGATTTTTGTTGTTGCCGTTGTTGTGCGCTGCACGCGCCGTGCTCTTGACAACTGCGTCCGGTCATCGGGAAGCTTTTTGTTTTAAAATCTAGAATTAGCTTTTTGTTTGACAACTTGCAAGGCCCCCGCAGAGTATTCGCTCGCTCCTGAACAGCGGGACGGCTCAGAGGCGCGAGAAACTACGTACAGGCGGGAAGGCAGCCGCACGGTGAACTGGTGCCAACGTTTGCCAAAGGGTTGCGGTCCTCCATACATTAAGGCGCTATCAGCCAATGACGGCTGATATGAAGGTGTTTAGTTTGATGTCCTTCCGCCGCACCTCAGATTGGCTCGGTTGGCTACGTACGGTGCGAAAGAAGTTCAACATACACACATACATGATGAATCAGTGTTTGTGGGTAAATAAGACCCAGGAGCTTAAACAAATGCCGCTCGATAATATTGGTCTGGAAAGCCAATAAGCCAATGGGCGAAATATATATTTATATTGATATGTAAAATTATATTTACATGGGATTAGCTGAGGGTGGGTGATGATGCTAATTGTGTCGCTGAACCTGCTGCTAATGATGATGTTGCTGCTGCTAATGATGATGTTGCTGCTGCTAAAGATGGTCATGCAGCTACTACTTCTGTTAATGATAAGTCAATGATTGAGGCGATGCTGATGATGGTGATGATAATAAGTCAATGGCTAAGGTGATGCTGCTCAAGGTGATGGTGATGATAAGCCAATGATCAAGGTGATGATGATGATGATAATAAGTCAATGACCAAGGTGCTCCTGCTCAAGGTGATGATAATGATGATGATAAGTCAATGACTAAGGTGATGCTGCTCAAGGTGATGGTGATGATAAGTCAACGACCAAGGTGCTCCTGCTCAAGGTGATGGTGATGATGATGATGATAAGCCAATGATCAAGGTGATGATGATGATGATAATAAGTCAATGACCAAGGTGCTCCTGCTCAAGGTGATGATAATGATGATGATAATAAGTCAATGACCAAGGTGCTCCTGCTCAAGGTGATGGTGATGATGATAATAAGTCAATGACCAAGGTGATGCTGCTCAAGGTGATGCTGATAATAAGTCAACGACCAAGGTGCTCCTGCTTAAGGTGACGGTGATGATGCTGCTGATGCTGGTCTGCTGCTGCCGTCGACCGTGTCCAAACATTCAACGCGGAACCAACCCTCCCATCAAAAACTCAGCGAGGCCTTCTTTGGTGTCGACTTTCAAACAACAGATCAACGCGAGAGACAGCACGTGGGCCCCCCCTGCTCCCAGGGGAAGGGTCTCCTCGTCAGGTTACCTGCTTTCTTTTGTAAAAGCCCTTGCGGTCGCAGTTCGGGATGTAGATGCCTTTGGGGTTGAGCAAAGTCGTTTCTTTAAACAGCTTGATAACGCCTTCCATCCTTCTTTTGCACGGGCCCTGCAAAAGCGTGTTCACGTGGCAAAGTGATCGCGCGGCCGTTAGCGTCTTGCGAGCATCGCCGGCGGTTTGCGGCGTGACCTCTAACGAGCAAAGCGTTCAGAAGGAGAAGAAAAGTGCTCAGCCGGTACATGCCGCGGGCACTCTGATGACACACCGAATGCAAAGTCTCAGTACAGGATGGCCGTACCTGCCATTGGTAATCCTCAAGTACATTTTAAAATAAACTTCCCGCTTGATGTGTTTTAAAACGTGTGTGTGTATATACACACACACACACATCTATATTCGGCATGGAAGAGGAGGCCAAACCATCTTAAGCGGAGGCTCTTTCGCCAGCAGCGGCGTGAGCAAGATATTTTGCAGTCCTGCACCTTTGCCTATGTATGTATTTTTTTTTAAGTATACAGATTAATAAAGTACGTAACTCTGCAAATCAATAAGCCTATTTTATTTTGGCGGAGCGGTGGCGGCAGTGGTTAGCGCACTACGTTATGAACCTGACGAACTTAGTTTCATCCCTTCTTCCTTCGTATCCATTAAAGCTGCAACTTTAGATTTGCTATCCACTCGATTGTCTGTTCAGACGCAGAGTGGATATCTCGTCCGTTCCTCATTTAAAGGAGTGAAGGCAGCAGCTGTTTATCACTCGTGAGTGATAACTAAATTGGTCTTTCCCCAACCGCAACCACCCCCCGTTGACCAACCCACACCGACCAGCGTGGTGAAGTATGGTCAAACAACCCCCATGACTAACACCGCGTGGGGAGGATCCCGTCGAGTGGTGACTTGATGGAGGGCCGTAAATTATCCTTTTGACCTTGCAATTGCCTTTCGATGCACAAACTGTCCCCCTTTTGCTTCGTTAACTGAAGGTGGCGCTGATCAGCTACGACTCTTTAAAGTAATTTTAAAATGCCAAGTAATATTTGTTGGTGTTCTGTTTTGCAAGAGTCGTGCGGGGTTGGTGGATCGCAGAGAGACTATCACACGCTGGGAGACTCCTGTTCCGATGGGCAACTATCACACGAAATGCGCAGGTTTTCCTCTGGGCATTTAAAGATCTCGTTTTCGCCCACCACTCGCGAGACGCGTAACGTATGCGTCTGATGTTGGCCAACACTCCGGATAATTTAGGTGGCTGCACAATAAAGTGTTGTGGCTGGTTGGAAAAATTCGCCTGTTTGGTGGACGAACATGTTCCTTACAAGACGCGGTACAGCAAGGAGGTTGTTGATTGTATCTCTATTGGTCACTTGCAGGTGTAGGTTTTCTGTGAGTACTCCAGTTGTTTCCCCCCCCCCCCCCCCATGCGCAAAGGAAAAATACTCATTCAGGAATTGGTCAAAAAACACCCAAAACAGTTAAACGTCGTTTCAAATTCCCACAGCCTGTCAATCTGAACACGCGATATCCACAACGGTCGGTCACTGAATGATGGCAAATGGTAAATGTGCAGCCCTGCCATGGATGGCTCATACCACTGCTTGAGAGAGGGACATCTGCTGGAATGAGTCTTAGATAGCACCTTCCCGACGGTATTTAGCCTACTCTTCCATGCTAGCCAAACGCCATGGAAGAGGTGGAAGAGCCCACACTTTACCCCACCACACGCAGCCTGCCGATGGATTAACTGAGTTATTTTAAGAAACTTGCCACATTGTTTCAACTGCCGTGTCCGGAGTTCGTCGAATCTGCCCGGCGACCTCTGGATTGCAAGCCCTGTGTGCGCTAACAATTACACCGTGGCTGCATCCCTGTACCTGTGACGTCTCATCCCAAATCCTGAATTTGATGAGCATTCACTTTGATTATTAAGATTGTTGAAAGTATCTTCCAGCTGAAATGAGCGTGGGGTGATACAAATCTCCAAGGTGGTCCAGATGTCTTGGCACACCCCAGTTAATTAATCCCTAACATTTTTTTTTTCCATTTGCACGTTCTTTTCTGTTTTAAATAAACCTTTCTTTAACAATATTAAGTTTTAGAGAATCGAATGGGGGTCATAAAACATCATGACCACCCTGTACATTGGCGATGCCAAGCCAGTGATGTAAATGCCACATTCCTACGGTTGGGGGTGGGTCCGTTTGCATACAGCTAAGTACTTTTCATACCACACAGGTCAATACAATGTACACTGCACGATAAAATGTATACTGCAAAACCCATCATACTTCACAGGTCAATATAATAATAAAATATATACTACGATGGGTTTTGAGCTGCCACCCATCACGACTGGGATTGGAACTCGGACTATTCCAACTGTCAGTGGGACGCTCTAAGCACAGCGCCAGCCGGCCAAATTGATAACGATGACTAGGCAAAAAAAAAATCCTTTTCTCCTAATCTTCATCGATGCAGCGTGGAACACGCACGGTTAGGTGCCCTCACTGCCGCCGTCGGTCAGACTGGAGAGAGACCAACAAGGGTAGGAACCGTACCCCAGCGCATCGCAGCAACTCCCCATAGCCCCCTGGGTGTATTTTTATGCATGCATCCCATTACACTTAGCGCGTGCGCATTTCTTCTCTTGACCTTTGCGGTGCTGGGGGTTTTGCATCGCCTGTGCGTGACACTTGTGCTGTCTTTGTTTGGTTGCAAATTGAAATCTCGGTTGGGCCACACCGACGACCAATCATCCCTCCGGTGGTCGTTAAAGTGACTGCCGATTTTCGGGAAGTCAACGGTGGTCGTGAGAGTCACGGAATTGTCTGGGCCATGCCATAGGAATGTTGAATTTTCGACACTTGGTTCGAGTTGCTGACAAACTAGCACGACCCCGTGTGATCCGGGAGAATGTTAATTTGACTGTGTCATCCGTGTTGGAAGGTCAACAGTGGTGGTCCTATGGATACACTTGCCTCAACATGGTAATGTGGGCTTTCCACTATTCGCTGAGGGCTGTAACCAGCAAATGAGGATCCTCTCATTGCTCTTGAGTAGGAACTCACTGGGACCGGGTCACAAAGCGGTGACCGAACGACGGCCGACTTAAACACTGCAAGTTGTAATCAGGTGGTGGGAAGAAGGAGGAGGGGAATGAGTGCCGGAGTTGAGCAGGACGGGGAATGAAGGGGGAGGCAAAGGGCTTTTTGCTGGAGGTCGACAGGGAAACACAATTTAAAAGGGAGTGAGGAGCACAAGTCGGGTCGAGAGCCTGAAACGATTGAGCTGACATTGCAGTTTGACCGTGAAACTTGGAATTGTAAAGTTGCGTGCACGAACATTTACAGTAGTTACTCGATAGATGTCACCACATCCAGTTAAGGCTTCATATCCCCGGCGCTAACAACACGAGTACCACTCAGTGAGTGATCAACACGGGCGATCGTAACTATAAACCATTCAACTTTATTTTTTATTTGACCAGTTAAGGCCCACTGGGCTACATAGTCCTTTTTCAGAAGCGACCTGGCCACAAATGATAGCTCAACGAAGTGGCTTATCACGTGGGAATGTACAGCAGCCAAATCCTCGCATCGGGACGCCGATCCACGTCACGCGGCAGTGGAATCATCACGAGCCCAATGTGACGACGAGGCACGCCGATGCGACGCGCAATGCACGAGCACGGACGCACTCGGCCTTGTGGATTTTCGTTGCACACACAACCTGCCATGCCTTCCCACCCGAAATCCCCCGAGAATCCCCGCCACGCTCACGTATTCGGTGTCCTGCTTCGCCTCGGCCGAGTGCACGTTCATGGCCGTGTTCTCCGCCAGCACGCGGTAGCGCTCCTTCTTCGAGCGGTGGTGACTGTGCGCCGGGCGCTGGCGGCTGGGCCCTAGTTGGACGACGGGGGAATCCGCGGGTTCGCCGGCGGGGGCCTCCTCCGCCTGCCCGGCGGGGGAGGGATCGTCCCTCGCGTCGCCAGCGTCTGCGTGGGGAGAGCGTCGGCAATGAGGGCAGGGCACCGAGAGGCAACGGCTTTCCCCGGCGCAAGCTGAACGTTTGTACGACAGACTAGGTTCAACACGCTCCTCTCGCGACTAATGCTGTCCATGGTAAAGGTTTTTTTTTTTTCCTTTGGGTTATATCGCGTAAATATAAACGTGTCGTTAAGTCGCCAGCACCTGACACCGGTTTCTCACAAAGACAAAACGTGCCAATGAGTTACTACTTCAGCACACCGGTGTGTTGGAGAGTAAACTCACAACAACTATGAACTTTTTACATTTTTTTACCAGGTAAGGCCCACTGAGCTATATGTGTGTATGTTGAACTTCTTTCATGCCGTACGTAGCCAACCATGCTCATCGGAGGTGCGGGGGAAGGGCAACAAACTCAACACAAAAATCTGTTCTGAAGAAATTAGTTTTCAATCTCGCTTTTAAAGCGTATTGCTTCAGCGGATTCCTAACATCGGAAGGAAGAGCATTCCAGACGGCCGCAGAAGCCCATCTGAAAGCGCGCGATGCAGTGACCGACCGTCTTTGTTCGATGGCGAGCCACCAGACGCTGCGAAGGTGACCGGCGTTCGCGTGATATTAATGCAGCTCTTTTGCAGAGGCGAGCTGGCCACACACGATAGCCCAATGCAGTGGCTCATCATGTGCAAATGTATAGCAGTCAAATACTCTAAACTCATGATTCTAAATCTGGAGGGAAAAAACAGAGAACCCGAAGAAAAATCCACGCGACCACGGGGATAACATGTAAACTCCAAATTTACAGCAGGCATCAGAATCGGGAACGAACCCACGACCTCATGCATACCGGACGAGGTAGTTGACATTCCGCCACAGTGTAATTGGAGTTGGCCAAAAACATTCCACTGTGGGACCATCCTGAAAAAGAGTCTTCGGAATCAGTGTTGGCTTTCCGGGATAATTAAGTAATTATGATTGTCGTTACTATCACAGAGCTCTGTTGTTCTTCTTATTATTAATGTTTTGGGTGTGAGTTCAACGTTGAGCAATCTCTCTGTTCAAAATGAGTGTGCAGAGGGGGGGGGGGCAATTATATCTTCGTGCCCCCCGCCACTCCATGGCCGTGCGAGTCTCTGTGTAAGGTAGCCACTGATGGTTTCGAGCAAAGTGGTGCCCATTGTTACCGCTGCGCAGAGACGGTGGGCCACAGTGAGGCCCCCTGGCCAGGGATCACGGTGAGGCCCCCTGGCCAGGGGACCACGGTGAGGCCCCCTGGCTAGGGGTCACGGTGAGGCCCCCTGGCTAGGGGTCACGGTGAGGCCCCCTGGCTAGGGGTCACGGTGAGGCCCCCTGGCTAGGGGTCACGGTGAGGCCCCTTGGCCAGGGGTCACGGTGAGGCCCCCTGGCCAGGGACCACGGTGAGGCCCCCTGGCTAGGGGTCACGGTGAGGCCCCCTGGCTAGGGGCCACGGTGAGGCCCCCTGGCCAGGGGACCACGGTGAGACCCCCTGGCTAGGGGTCACGGTGAGACCCCCTGGCCAGGGGTCACAGTGAGGCCCCCTGGCCAGGGGTCACGGTGAGGCCCCCTGGCCAGGGACCACGGTGAGGCCCCCTGGCTAGGGGTCACGGTGAGGCCCCCTGGCCAGGGACCACGGTGAGGCCCCCTGGCTAGGGGTCACGGTGAGGCCCCCTGGCCAGGGACCACGGTGAGGCCCCCTGGCTAGGGGTCACAGTGAGGCCCCCTGGCCAGGGGACCACGGTGAGGCCCCCTGGCTAGGGGTCACGGTGAGGCCCCCTGGCTAGGGGTCACGGTGAGGCCCCCTGGCTAGGGGTCACGGTGAGGCCCCCTGGCCAGGGGACCACGGTGAGGCCCCCTAGCCAGGGGGCCACGGTAAGGCCCCCTGGCCAGGGGGCCACGGTGAGGCCCCCTGGCCAGGGGACCACGGTGAGGCCCCCTGGCCAGGGGACCACGGTGAGACCCCCTGGCTAGGGGTCACGGTGAGGCCCCCTGGCTAGGGGTCACGGTGAGGCCCCCTGGCTAGGGGTCACGGTGAGGCCCCCTGGCCAGGGGACCACGGTGAGGCCCCCTGGCCAGGGACAACGGTGAGGCCCCCTGGCCAGGGACCACGGTGAGGCCCCCTGGCTAGGGACCACGGTGAGGCCCCCTGGCTAGGGGTCACGGTGAGGCCCCCTGGCCAGGGGACCACGGTGAGGCCCCCTGGCCAGGGACAACGGTGAGGCCCCCTGGCCAGGGACCACGGTGAGGCCCCCTGGCTAGGGGTCACGGTGAGGCCCCCTAGCTAGGGGCCTCGGGGCCACCGCACTCACGACGTGAAGCGATTTACAGTGAGGGAAAAAAGTATTTGATCCGCTGCTGATTTTGTACGTTTGCCCACTGACAATGAAATGATCAGTCTATAATTTTAATGGTAGGTTTATTTGAACAGTGACAGACAGAATAACAACAACAAAAATCCAGAAAAACGCATGTCAAAAATTTTATAAATTGATTTGCATTTTAATGAGGAAAATAAGTATTTGACCCCCTCTCAATCAGAAAGATTTCTGGCTCCCAGGTGTCTTTTATACAGGTAACGAGCTGAGATTAGGAGCACACTCTTAAAGGAGTGCAACATTTTTGCCATGCGTTTTTCTGGATTTTGTTGTTGTTATTCTGTCTCTCACTGTTCAAATAAACTTACCATTAAAATAATAGACTGATCATTTCTTTGTCAGTGGGCAAACGTACAAAATCAGCAGGGGATCAAATACTTTTTTTCCCCTCACTGTACATAGCAGACGGGAATAGTGCGGATGATTCAGCCCTAGCCACGGCGCCACCCACTCCAGCTCCCCCGTAGCAGCGCATTAATGCGACGCGCCGGAGTCTCACTCACATGCCAAGCAAAAGCAAATAAAAACACAGAGCGGATGAACAAAACAAAAAAACGGCTCGGGATAATCGTCGCCGTCGTTCTCTTCTCTCACAGAGCAGAGAGCGCAGCAGCAGACTGTCGCATTCGCTTCATAGCAAGGATGCTTTCACGTCGCTGGGACCGTGCAAAGGTTACCCCGGGGGGGGGGGGGGTGGTGGTTCGCTCTCGGAACACAACGGCTGTGTCATCAATTGCGCATTCTGTTACGCGCAAAAGAGCAGCCTCGCGGCGTGAACCAGCGCGCACCGCGGACGCCGGCAAGCTGTGCGTAAGCGGAACCTTTTTTTCCTTCCAAAAAGGGGGCTTGTTGTGATTGCCCTTAACACCCCGGCGGGTTTCAACTGAAGCCCGCCGAATGGGGGTTCGGTGTTTACTCCTTGGCCTGGTTTTGCCACCTGCCCGCGGTGTGTGTGTGTGTGTTGCGCGCGTCTGTAAGGGGAGCGGTAGTTGTAGCGGTTAGCGCTACGCTGCGCTACGAACCTGGCGACGAGGGTTTGATTCCCGCTCACGGCCAACACCGGTGACGACAATCTGAACCGGTCCTGGGCCTCCCCCTAGGTCGACTCGGCCTCAAATGAGTACCTGGTGCGATGTGTAAACATCGTTACTGGGGAGACAAAGGCGGTCAGGCGTGGTGTTGGCCACCCACCCCCTCGTGTGCCGTGCCGGCCTTTATAGGTGCTGCTCACTAACAGCACTTGCGCCTACAGTCTTGTTAAAGCTACACGGGGGATCTTTGCCTTTGTGCGTGTGAGCGGGAGCCGCGCGTCGTGATGCGTGTCGCGAAGGTCGTCTTCACGCGTCTCCTTCTGGGGTTAATTCCCTGCGACCAAGCCACCCGGGATGCGTCCGGTCTCGCCGCGCCTCGCAAGCTAAGTGGGAATCGAGCCTGGGGAGCGCTTAGATGGGTGACGACCGCGCACAACAACAGCGGTTTTTATGGTTTGTTTGGTGCCAGTACGTGGCGGTGCAGTCAGCTGTATTACTCTTTCGCACGCCCCCCCCCCCCCCCACCTTCGACAAGCGCGCACTGACCAGCGTGGTGAAGTATGGTCAAACGTGCTCACGATCCCTGTCCAGCGGTGGGCTGCCAAAGAGGCCGTACGCGTGCCAGGTTTATTGCTGGATATCGGCACGATCCAACCAGGTGGCGCTGTGGCAAGGGGCTCTGAGCGTACATTTTTAGGAGCGTGCCAGGTTTCAGAGGGATGATGACTCGTCCCATCGTCCTCCTGGGGGGTCAACAAAAATTGCTCTAACTTTGTGACAAGCCCCACTGCAGTGGTCCTATCGAGAAGCAGGTCCGCGCCGTGGGAATGTGTTCTATTCTACACTGCTGGCTTTGTGCCAGCATCGATGACGTGTGCCGTCCCATGCTCGTATTGAGGAAGGAGACACTTTGACGTGTTTTAATTGGCAGGCGGCCAAAATCGTAGAGGAAAAGTAATCTCAAAAGTAAATCGAGTAGTTATCTATTGATGGGGGGAGGGGGGGGGGGGGAAGTCTTACTCGGCTTGACGTTTGTATCGACCTATTTGCCAGTGAGGTTGAGGGCTTTCAAGTGCGTTCGTTTTAATGTCGCAGTTCATGATGCCATGCGCTCCCTTGACTTTATACATTTACAAAGAATAAAAAAAGTGTATCCCTGCTCAAACGAACTTTCGCCGATCCTCATCTCCCCTGCCAGCCTTGAGTCATCGGTGGTAATTTCACATTTGTGGCAGGGCCTTGTCTATCCAAGCTGACATCTTACAAAAAAAATCGAGAAATTGCTTTATTGAGTCGACAGTGAACCTGGATTGGCACGTCTACCTTCTTCAAATAAGATGCAACCCAAAACACAATGGGCCCTTTCAGATAACTACACTGGGACCCTGTGCCCTGAGACGTCCAGAGATATGAGTGTGAACCTTCCTTTAACAAGTAAAGGTTGCAGCCCTGCACTGTCTTGCTGAAGCCACTTCTGGCAGAAGGGGCCTCTGTGAGAGAAAGTTCTAAATTGGCGTTCGTCATTGCAAGGCCCCGCGGGCCACTGGCGATTCCTGGTGGCCTTCAGTGCGACCCCTGACGTGCGGACAACCGACAATGCACATGAACACCCCCACCCCCCACCCATCATTGTGCTGTTGTCAAACCCCAATGGTTGCAAATGATGTGGCGGCCCTCACACTGATGATGTCTTATCGGCGAAAGTGACCTCCCTCCCCCACCCTCTGAAAATGAATGAAGAACGCTGATCTAGAGGGCTCCTCGCGGAAGGATTTTGGCCTGCTTTCTCACTCTGGCCAGACGTCTTCGGAGGAGGTGGGAGTACCCAGACTTTAACCGACCACACGCCACCTGCCGATTGACTCATCTTGTGGCGATGCCCATTTACTGTGCACCGTTGGGTGGACAGAGGCGGGGATTTCTGAAAATTCCCCGATCGTTTCGAGTGTCGCGAACGGGGAGATCGAGTCGAACCGGCGAACCTCGTGATTACAAACGCAGTGTCGGTGTGTGCTGTTGCTAACCGTTACAACATGGCAGTTTCGGTAACAGGGGATTGGTAAGTGACACGTACATTAAGGCACTCCATCGCAGCAACCTTAGTGACACCCTTCGCCGATCTATCAACACATGGTTAGCGCGCTTGGCTACGCGCGGTGCGAAAGGAGTTCAACATACATGCACATGCCAAGTGACGTCACAAGAGAGCAACGATGACGTGGGTTATCGTGGCTGCAACGTCTTTCGTCGCATTAACAAGCGTCTGCCTCTGCGTGGGGGACACCGAGGGCGCATCACAACAGGTGTGCATCTACAAGACAACAGCAGCTGTTTGTTTCTTGGGTTGCGTCTTCATGTAAGCCAGCCCTGACAAACAAAGCAACCACCGTCACCAACAGCTACAACACCGAGCGGCATCGACATTCATTAACAAGCACGTCACGTTCGTATACCCACCGTGGCACTGATGAACGGGCACGATTTGAGATCACTTATTGCATGAAAACAAAAAAAATCAACGTTGTCTCGTTTGTGCTGCGTTATCTGCACTGTCCCAATTCAGTTTCAGTTTATTTTGGTATAGCCCTGTGAGCCATTCGGCTCTTGAATCGGGTGCAACCACAACTCAACAAAAAAAAACACGAACAAGAAAAACATCTTAAATTGACTATGTGACTCATGTTGTACTGCCTGTCTCAATTGTTCCGTCTTGGTTTGCACTGCCTGGTTTGTGCTGTTCCATGTGTGATGTGTCTCGTCTGTGCTCGTCTCATCTGCACTGCATGTCTCGTGCTGTTTCACTTGAAAACAATTTTTAACTTTCCAGGTAAGGCCCACTGAGCTATATATATTGCAGCTCTTTTTCAGAAGCGACCTGGCCACAAATGACAGCTCAAAGAAGTGGTTTATCACTTGGAAATGTATCGCAGCCAAATACTCTAAACGACACGCGCTCCCACTGTGTCGTCCCGTCCCGCCTGTATTTTCTCTCTCGTGTTGTCTTATCTAATCTCGATAGCAGGCCTCGTCTGTGCTGTCAGTGCTCGCTGTCTCTGCTATGCGAATATTCCACAAATAAACAAACAAACACACACAAAGCGTGTGCGCAAATCGTCAATCATTCACTCAAATGCCCACACGCTTTTCCCCGCAAGCGTTAACACACGCCTAATTACAGCACTCGCATCACATGATATGCATCGTAAGTTAAACACATCACAGCACAACACACAGCTCATCAGCGAACCCACCAACACACTGCCGGGCTTTCACAACACACATCTCATCAGCGCTGCCACCGCCATCACACTGCCCGGCTCCGACTACACACAGCTCATCAACGAGTAGACCACCACCACCACACTGCCCGGCTTCCACTACACACAGCTCATCAGCGAGTCGGCCACCACCACACTGCCCGGCTTCCACTACACACAGCTCATCAGCGAATCGACCACCACCACACTGCCCGGCTTTCACAACACACATCTCATCAGCGCGCCCACCGCCATCACACTGCCCAGCATCCCCTACACACGGATCATCAGCGAGTCGGCCACCGCCACACTGCCCGGCTTCCACTACACACAGCTCATCAGCGAGTCGGCCACCACCACACTGCCCGGATTTCACAACACACAGCTCATCAGCGATCCCACCACCACCACACTGCCCGGCTTCCACAACACACAGCTCATCAGCGAGTCGACCACCACCACACCGCCCGGCTTCCACTACACACAGCTCATCAGCGAGCCCACCACCACACTGGCCCGGCTTTCATCTTCCATGCAAACAAAAGGGCAGCTGTTAACCAGCACGAACCACAGCAAATGCGGTCACCTAATGGTGCGGGCTACGCACTCAAAGCCGTGGAACTTGGCACTGCCCCAAATCCACACGTGAAGGCGGTGGTGAGTGAGCCGGTAGAGCGTGAGCGGGTGAGTTAGTGGGTGAGTGAGTGCGTTAGCGAGGTCAGTTGAGTTTTTTTTTATATAAAGATTGAAAACTCATTTCTTTACAACTGCTTTTGTTGTCCTCCCCCAGCACCTCCGATTAGCATAGTCGTCTACGTACGGTGCGAAAGAAGTTCAACACACACACACATACAGAAGGCATGCGTACATCCACAGAGACCGAATCTCGAATACCGTACAGCCGCTCTTCAATACGACCGCACGAAATCACCAACCCACCCATCGGAATTCAATCGTATTTTCACTCTCCCCCCTCATTGAGGAAACCCACCAACCCCACCGCCCTACTCGACCCACCTGCGTTCGACTGCAGCGGCGAGTGCTGCAGCTGCTGCTGCTGCTGGTGGTGATGGTGATGGGGGTGCTGGCGGGATCTGCACACCCCGGAACCCTCGAGCAACGCCTGGAGGGGCCTCTCCTCCCCGGCTCGCGGCGAGCAATGCAGCCCCGAGCCGCAGCGCTCCGTGTACACGCCGCACGCCTGCCCGTCCAGCAGCGCGCAGGTCCTGCAGCAGCCGCAGCCGGGCTCCCGCACGAGTTCGCAGCCCCTCGGCGGGTCGCACTGCGCGAGGGCTTTCTCGTCGCACGGTTCGCAGTGAACCAGCCCCGAGCCACCGCCGCCACCGCCACCACCACCACCACCGCCGCCGCCACCGCCGCCGGCCGAGGTGGCAGCGGCGGCGGCAGCGGCGGCGGCAGCGGCGGCGGCGGCGGTAGCAGCCCAGGGGCTGCCAGCTCGATTCGGGGCCATGGCGCACAGGACTAGCAGTGCCATGCGAGTCCAGCAGATTGGGACTCCCATGGGCAGCATCGTTTAGCTACGCAGACGCCGCCTGCTCCTGCTGATGCCTGCTGCCTGCTGCTGCTGCTGCTCCTGCTGCTGCTGCTCTTGCCGCTTCTCTTTGTATTAAATAGTGTTGCTTTATTACGCGCGGGGTATTTTTGTTGTTGTTTGGTTTGTTAAGTGACAGTTACTGATGAGGCTATTTTGCACGTCGTCGGCTTATTTAGGTCAGATTATTCTTAATGTTGATTTGGGTTTGCTGAGCTCTGCGTTCGTATTAAAGCGCACAAGTTGGATAGTTCGGTTGTCATACGATGTAATTCTACTGTTTAACATTTATATACGGAGAGTTACGGTTGACTAATTTGCCCTGCTGACTGTTCTACAAACTCTGCATCGACAAGATAACCCCCCGCTGACTACTGGGGGCTATTGTAAAACAATGCTGTCGTACTACTACCGCTGCTGCTGCTGTTATTCGTCTTAATGATAACGCTATTCAGCAATGCTTGCAGTGGCCTCTCCGATAGACGCACGGGAATGGTGAGGGCGACACAACTGACAGGCAAGTCTGCAAGAACTGCTCCTTATAGACTCTATCTCCTCCCACTTACCCAGCCCTCCTACACCACCCCCCTCCTCCTCCTCCACACTACTTCCCTCCCTCCCTCCCACCACCACCACAACCCCCATCACCACCACCACCTACTCTTTCTCCCTCCCTTCACACATCACCTCAACAGCCCACAAAGCCTCAACCCACCCCAGTTGCCTGTTTAACAGTGAAACCCCATGCAGGTCCTTCTCTCTCCCTCTCTCTCTCACACACACGGCCGAGTGTGGGTTTTGTCATCGCCTAATGAATAAGACACGCCTTGCCCTGGATCAGAACCCACGCGCCTAGCCTTTATGCCCACTTGTCCTTCTCGCGACTCCTGCGCGCTGATTCTTACACACACACACCACGCACCCATCAGCGTCTCGCTGCGCGCGCACTTACTACGCACGCCGCGTGCTTTTTGACGGGCTACTGAGTGCCTTCGAGCGCGCGACGCCTATGCAGAAAGAAGGCGCGCAGGGCGCACCACGATGGTGCTGCGGTGGGTCAACCTCACCCCGCCCGCCCCTTGTCACCCATTGTGCTGATGTTCGCGCACCGCGACAGTTGTTAATGTAAGGCTGAGTCGACCCGAAGGGAGGCCCCCAGCTAGGAGCGGTTCAGATATTTACCAACGCTGTTGGCCGTGAGTGGGAATCGGAGCTCGGCCCACCAGGGTTCTTTGTAGCGCAGTGCACTAACCTGCTAAGACCCATTGCTCCCCGCGTACATTTAACAAGACGTAGACAAAGGTTCCCGAGCAGAGCCTTAATAGACTGTTGGTGAGAGTGCTGTTAGCGAGCACGTATGATGGGTGGCCACCACCATACCGGTGGCGATGCTTACACACCGCGTCAGGTACTCATTTGAGGCTGAGTCGACCTAGGGGAGGTCCAGAGCCGGTTCAGCTAATCGTCACTGGCGTCGGCCGTGAGCGGGAATCGAACTCGGGGTTTGTAGCGCAGCGTTCTAATCGTACGCAAGCACACACATGCACACACGCACGCATGGAAACTTGCAAACACATGTAGACGTGCATGCAAAAACACAAAGATCCCCGTAAAAAATTTTGGGGCAAGTGCTTTTGGCGAGCACCTATGAAGGCCGGCACGGCACACGAGGGGGTGGGTGGCCAGCACCACGCCCGGTCGCCTTTGTCTCCCTAGTGTCGATGTTTGCACACCGCACCAGGTACTCATTTGAGGCTGAGTCGACCTAGGGGAGGCCCAGAGCCAGTTCAGATAATCGTCACTGGCGTCGGCCGTGAGCGGAAATCGAACTCTGGTCGCCGGGGTTTATAGCGCAGCACGCTAACCGGTGCGCTGCCGCTCCCCATGCACACACACACACACGTTCATATACACACATATAAATACATACACACACATACGCAGACGCATAAACACGCACACCCTCCTGCTGCATGCTTTCAGCATCCCACAGACACAGTACAAATGGCCAAATGAAACCTGCTTTTATATATACACAGTTGTTGACTTCGTGGATTGTTGCCGTCCATGTCATTGCCATTGTCCGATATTATATATTTAGAAACGTCGTATTATTATTATTTATTATCTTGATTTAATGAGTCTTTGACGACCAATAGCATGATTCATAATCGGGTTTTTTTCCCGTTTAGGTCATTGTATAACGATGATTGTGAGTTTATTGCTTGCCTCACTGTACACATCCAGCTGACAAGATATATGTAAATGGCTCCGCTAAAGAGGCTTGCAGCATGAAAGTAGAACGTCGCAAGGAGATCCAAGCTCCTGTCCAGCTGAGGATTCTGGATGTAACCTGCGAGCACAGCGTCGTACCTTATGGTCCAACGTTCTGCGATTCCTCCTCCAACGCCCAGCGGTGCTGTTTACTGAAGCAAGCAATACGTTTGGAAAGTTTGACTCACGTGGCATTTTGTTTTATTAATCGGCTGTACCGGGTGGAGGAGGGTTTACGGCACACATGTTTACACAACCTAGCCCAAAACAAACCGATTATTAATCATTTATTCCACTTATTTTTTTATGAGATTCGCCACTTTTTTTCAGGATGACCCTGTATTGACATGTTTGGCCAATTCCTTTTTAATGAGAGCTTCGCACGTGGGAGGAAACTGTTGTACCCAGCCAAAACCCGTTCATATAAGGTTGCAACATTCACGCTCCTTTAGAATGTTAGATTCAAGCAACATTCGCGCTGTGCTTGCTTACTGCAGGCACCATCGCACTACTCTCTCTCTCTATATGTGCAAGTGATTCGTCAACATGATGGATATCATACCTAAATGTATCCATCAAATGCACTGTCTCCTAAGTTGTTGGAATGCATATATGCCGCAACCCACACCCGGCCCTTTCCAGATTGTGGGCACGTTTCAAAATGTGCGATCTCAGTTCTGACAATGAGACACAATGTTTTACTTGCATGGCACAGGCTCTTTAGTAGCACCCTTTACAAATATGAGCATCGGTGACTGTACTCTCCAAGTTTAGAACTGTTTGTTTTGTGTTTAGTTTGTTGTCCTTCCCCCGCACATCTTATTAGCACGGTTGGCTACGTACAGCGCAAAAGAAGTTCAACGTACAAAACAAAGATCCCCCGTAAAGCTCTAACCGACTTTTGGGCCAAGTGCTGTTAGCGAGCACCTATGAAGGCGAGAACGGCACACGAGCGGGTGGGTGGCCACTCCCAGCAGCCCATGTCTCCCTAGTAGTGATGTTTACACACCACACCGGGTACTCATTTGAGGCTGAGTCGAACAAGCGGGGGCCCAGGACTGGTTCAGATAATCGTCACAGATGTCGGCCGTAGCGCAGCGTGCTAACCGCGACACTTCTGCTCCCCATAATTCAACATACTTGCACATGTTTAACACGTAGAGCAATGCCTGATCAAACCAACGGCATCAAAACCACCAAGACTTTATGGGCTACCAAAAATTCACAAACCTGATGTCCCATTAAGACCCACAGTTAGTGCAATAGGCTCTGCCACGTACAAATGAGCACAATACGTAACGAAACAAGAACAGCCCTATATCGATAGGACCTCTTCGTTCATCAAAAACTCTGAACATCTCGTAAATATAATCCAAGATATTAAGCTTAACCCTAATGATATTCTCGTAAGTTTTGATGCGACTTCTCTGTTCACGAGGGTTCCGGTCAACAGATTAATTAAATTACTCGACACTCTGGTAACGAACAAAGGTTTATCCAAAGATATCCCAAGACTAGCTGAACACTGTCTAAAGAACACCTATTTCTTGTGGCAAGGTGACTTCTATAAACAAAAGGAAGGAGCAGCAATGGGCCCTCCTTTGTCTCCTGTGATAGCGAATTTGTACATGGAAGATTTTGAAACAACAACAATAGCTTCAAGCATACTAAAACAATCTGCTTGGTTTAGATATGTGGATGACACATTGATGGTCTGGCCACACAGCAAAGAAACACTGAACGCATTTCTAAATCATCTTAACTCGTAAAACCCATCCATCCAGTTCACCATGGAAATGGAAGCTGACAGAAGTCTACCATTTCTGGATATTCTGCTCGGACGGGGTCGAAATGGTAAAATAACACACAGTGTTTACCGAAAGAAAACGCATACTGACGCCTATCTGAATGCAGAGTCACACCATCACCCCACACATAAATCTGCTCTTATCAAGATGCTGAGTCATCGAGCTACGAAAGTGTCAGATGGTAACAGTCTGAGAAGTGAAATTCAACATGTAAAAGAAGCGTTGCAAATGAACGGTTACAATGATGCACAGATCAACAGGGCATTGAATGCCAAAACCAAATCAAATAACACGAGCATTGAAACTGCCCAAGTAATTAAAACGATCAAAATACCGTACATTATGGGAGTAACTGATAAACTAGCCAGATGTTTGGAAAAACAAAACATCCGAGTTAGATTTGGCATGGTACATAAAATACAGAAATTAATATCTAGTACAAAAGAAGGTGTGTACAGGGTTAACTGCACGTGTGGTAAGTGTTATGTTGGGGAAACAGGACGAATGATCAGCGTGAGACTAAAATAACATCAGAAAAATATTAAATTCTCCCAAATATAACTGTCAGCAGTAGCAGAACAAAGACACTCAATTGATTTTGATAACGTTGAAGATCTGTGCAAAACTAGCTGCTACTGGCCAAGACTGATTAGAGACTATCGAAATTGAAAGAAATAAAAATAACTTTAGCCGTTCGGATAGCTACCGCCTTAGTTCTGCGTGGAAGCAAATAATCAAATAGTACATTATTTAAATGCATGCCTACAAAGGGCAGCATACTTCAATAGGGATTGCCGTTGGTACGGCTATTTTAATAAACACAATAGACAGGAAGGACAAGTTCAAAGGGCTCGCATGATGTACATGCATCATGCGCGTTGCCTCAGTAATCCCCCCCCCCCCCACGTGGCACAAGAGTGCAGAAGCGTGGTCACCACAGCTACGCCTCTATGTAAGGAACCAACCAGTAAGACTTCTCCAGAAATCTGGCTGTCGCCTGATGAAGCTAGTTGTAATTACTGGTGAAACGTCGTACTCAGATTGTAAATGTTGTGGATTTACTCTGTAACACACTGGTGTGCTGTACTAGTGATGAATTGGCCACGTTCTGTTTACGTGACAAACCTTACTAGTTGGCTGTGTCGGGTGGTGGCGGGTTTTAATGAAACATTTATATATTTGTGCGATTTAACAAAAAAAACTATATTATGGATACTTACACATATGTACATACATTTCTTGCCAGCTGGATGTGGGTGGTTAACAACTACTCAACTCACAATTTTAATGGCGCAAGTTCAGATCATAGTCAGTGTTAATCGGTTATTCGTGGCTGTCTTATGGGCTGAATGGTCCTCGTCATATGACTATGGAATTTCCTCGATTTACTGAAGGCCACCAAAAGAGATGCGCACTGACCCACACTAATTTGACCAAGGAGACACCTCAACGCGATGTTGAGATAA